CCTAGGAACAGAGAGCTGCACTGAGGAGATGGCAGTGGGAAACAGAGGTAGGAAATGGAAAGCAGAGAGGGCAGGGAGGCTGAAAGCCAAGCAGAGAGGTTGCAGTGGAAAGGAGGGCAGCCAGGGCTCTCTGTAGGCACAGCATGGCACGGGCCATGGAGGTTCCTGGGGTCCTGTGGCTCCTGGAGGTGATGGAAAGTGGAATCAGGATGGAGGGTGGGCTGTGCCAAGGACCTGGTGCCCCTGTTATAGTGAAAGGAAATTCTTGTGGAGAGTGAGCTCCTTCCACACCCACCAGGGGAAGGCAGCGGGTCTGCACCACTGGGAGACCTCCAGAAAACCAGCCTGGCACCTGCCAGGCATTGCAAGTGTTGTAGAAAACAGATCAATGAAAAAAACTGCTAACAGAGAGCAGGAGAAAAAGGGTTTTTTTCCCTCAATAGACAAAAGAGAAAAGCCAAGAAACGTCAGATGTTGTGTTGGACAAGCACTTTATAGAATGGAAGGATTGCCCATGGCTTGAGTCTGCTCTCCTCCAAGCCAGCACAGCACACACAGCTATTTGTGAGGTACCAGGGATGGCTGTTCTCACTTCCACAAGATTTGAGCTTATTATAACTGGCTCTGAGCGTTGAGGCACAGCAAGAATTACTGGTAGGCACCAGAATTTTCCCTCCAGCTGCAAAGAGGATGAAGGCAGTATTATCACGGCGGTGGCCAAGGCTGCTGGATTGAAGAGCAAAGCTGGTTCCTGGGTGAGTAATCCCACATCTCCCGCCCACAGAGCTCTGCTCCTGCACCCCAGTGCCCCGGACCAGCCACGTCAGATGTCACAGCTCCCTTCCAGCCCACATTCCTGGGGGTTTGCCATGGAAACCAGGATGACTGTACTGCATGGACTGGGGATGGGGTTGGGGTGAGCAGCAGGACCCAAAAACGGGGCTGGAGGCAGGGGTGAGGTGGAGAGCTGTGCTGCTGAGTGGGCCAAAGACCACTTTCAGGGTGTTCAGACAAATCCTATAAAGATCCCAATGTTAATAATCAGTCATTCTCTAATTAACGTTCGATATGATCACTTCCAGGACTGGGCCTGTGGAAATCTGGCAGAATGTAAAAGAAATGTGCAAAGAGGTGAGGTAAAATTTCCATGTGCAGCACGCCACATTCTTTTTGTGGGTTTGTGGAGAGGAGTGAGAGCTGGGCTGGAAAGGTCAGTGGTGCTCTGCATGGAGGAGCTCCCACTGCCACAGCCATCATTTGGCTGTTCACAGCATAAATCAGAAAGTTAATTCCTGCACGACTTCAGGTCTGTGGGGAAAAAAAACACCGAGAAGCAAAAATGGCAAAACACCAAAGAGGATGAAAAGAGGGAGTGAAGTAGGGAGAAGAGGAGCTGTGGGAGCAGTCTGGAATTTTGGCAGGTTGGAGCACGGAGAGGTAAAGCAGCTGGTCAGGGCCCTGTGGGGGCATGGAGACAGACAGACAGACACAAGGGACCTGCAGCAGAAGGGATTAATGGGCAAAGAAAGCACTTGAAGGCTTAGACATGGAACTGGTATGGAATAAAGTTGATTTCACAGAAACGCTATTCTCTGTTTTTAATTCTAGGCAAACTTTTTTCAAAGTACAAAATCTTTCACTGGAAGTTTTACGTTTTCTGGCTCTTTTCACCTGGTTTCAATCCCTCTGAAGATCCCTGGTCTGGATGTGCACTGAATTTCTTGACTGCAGCAAGAAAACCAGGTTTGAGAGAGGCTGAGGGTTGTGTCAGCACATTGACCTCAGGGCTAGGGAAGGATACAGATGGGAGGGGACAGGAATGGTGCCACCCCACCCCAGGCCTGCATGGAGGGACTTGAGCAGCCCCTTTTCATCCTTAGAGCTTCTCCCTCGCCCTCCGAGCAGGGTTTGCAGCAGGGGGAGATCTCAGCCCGTGCAAAGCCAGCCTGGCTGAGCTGTGCCTCGACAGCAGCGAGTCCCAGGGCAATGTGGGATCTGAACATCCTCTGGTTACTCCTTGGAAACCCTAATAAAGCTGCCTCTGCAGCACCCACCAGGGCTGGGAGACAGAAGTGCCTTTTTCACCCCCTGGAAGCACCCCCGGGGTAAGTGGCACCTGGCTGGGGCACTGCCAGGTCCCTGTGCCCAAGGCTTGACCCTGCAGCTCTCCAAAGGCACATTTGAAGGATTTGATGAGATAGGATAATGTTTCCCAGTAATTTTTGCCCCACATTGCCCATGGTATACTGAAAAAAAGGAGTCTGGAAGGTTAAACCAACTCAAGGCAGTGATCTGCTGGAGCTGCACACTCTCTTTGATGAATGTTATCTTTCCTCTCCTTTCAGGCATGGGCTTGAACTGAGCCTTCGATTCCATCAGGCTTTTTGTTGTAATTTCTGAGTGCTCAGCTTTTGGAGATTCACTTCTACATGAAGTTCTTGAAAAGAGCAACAGTCAGCAGTTTTACAGCAAAGCAGTTTTCCCAAGAAGTATTAATGTAATTTGGGAGAGGGGGACGTGTGCTGGAGCTTAACAAACACAATTTTAAACACACAGGGCGAGGAGATAGGACAGGGACAGTGGAGAGGCAGGACCAGGACCATCACCTGGATTTCAGAGCTTGTCCTTTTGCTGGCTGGAGGAGCTGGTCACTTTTTTTTTTTTTTTAATGTTGAAAAGTAGATTCTCACCAGTGTGAGACTCTGATCATTAGATATCTCAGTGAGGTGTGATCAAATCCTGAAATGCAGCAGTGGGTGATCACAGTGGGAGAGCTCAGATTGTCCTCTACAATCCCAAATGTCCCATGTGCATCCCCAGAGAGACTGTTCTTGTTGTCTCTTTCCAAATGGCTGCATTTTTGTCATCGTGGCCATCGTCCTCAGGAGCTTGCTGGGTCAATCAAGTCCCTGAGCAAAACAGGATTAAGGCAGTGCTTAGCAGAGCAGGGTATGGAATGGAGGGTCACAGAGGTCCTGACTGGTGTACAGAAGCAGCAGGGTTGGTGTGCAAGGGTTGTTGAAGTGGGAGAAGCTGTAGCTCAGAAATAGCCATGGGGATCACCTGTGGAGTAATCTGAGGGATTTGCTGTCGCTATTGGGCACGAAATGAGTACATGGAAGCTTGGTGAGTTCAAAAAAGAAAAAGAGACAATTTTATTTCTGACTTCGCAATTTATAGAATTCCAAAAGTGACAGTGGATTGGAGGATGAAATTGTCACTCTCCAACCACACTGGCCAAACCAACAATCCATCAATTCTATCTTCCCACAAAGAAGAATGCAAAACAATCATTATTTACATGAACAGTGTGTGAGAACTCCAGTAGAAACATGTAAACATTATCAGAAGGCTAAAGAAATTTTAGGAGAACTTTAAAACTTTCAAAAGAACTGTAAAAGAAAACTCAACACTTTTAAAAATCAGGACAACAATTAGCCTCTGGGATAGTTTACAGGGTAGTCTGTAGGACAGACTGCAATACAGCCTAGAGGATAGTGGAGTGGGTAGTGGGGTATGGGACAGGCTGTGGCACAGCTGAGGGGACAGCCCACAGGATAACCCTCAGGACACCCCTGCAGTGGCCAGGGTTCTCTCCTGAGACACTCCAGTGCCTGCTCCAAGCTGGCAGAGGGAGGATGTGAAGCAAAGTCTTGCACTTCCCAAGAGAACCAACTGCCTTGCTGCTGGCTCTGAGAGCTTTAGAAGCATCACTGGCCTCAGCCTGGAAGGACAGCCAGGCTCTGACTCCCAGGCAGCTCTGGGACTCACTCAGCCCTCAAATCCCCTTTGCAGAGCAGCAGAGCCCTGTCTGCATTTCCAGGGGCAGCAAACCACAGCCAAGGACAAACCACAGCCAAGGACAAGCCACAGCCAAGCCCCTTGGCCTCTGCTGGGGTCAGTTTTGGCTCGCTCTGGCTGCACAGAGGGCTCGGGATGGGCAGGGTGAGCATCACCGACCTCACTGCCCCAGGCCCTGCTCTCCCAGCCCACACAGCACAAGAGGCCAGGAAAGCTTTTGCAGCCCTGTTGTAAATGCAGGCGAACACAATGGGAAGAAATGACGATGTCTGACTCAGTTCAGAAGGCTGAATTATTTCTTTATTATAACTGTGCTAAAATACATTAATATACTATATAAAGGAAGATACTAAAACTACATACTACTTTCTCTGACTAATTCAGCTCATGACCCTCACTCGTGAGTCCAGCCCCAGGTGGGTTGGATTTGCCATCAGGCTCAAACAATCCTCACCAGAACCCAATCAAGCAATCACTCCAAGTAAACAATTCCCCAAACACATTCCACATAGGAAAAACAAGGAGCAGAAATATAAATTGTTTTCTCTTTCATTTCTCTCTGTGCACCTCTATGAAAAATCCTGAGAGGGAGAGAAATGTGCTGCCACACAGCCCCTCCATCAGAAAGCCACAGACAGCCCAGAGAGGTGATGCTGGCAGGACGGGCTCTGTGCTGGCTGTGCACATCTCTGCTGCCCCCAAACTCGGTGCCCACCGTGCCCACGGGCCGGGCAGGGCAGATGGCATTTGGGATCTGCTGTGGGAACACCGCTGGGGCTGTGCTCCCTCCTGCCTTCCTCATGGGAGATGCCTTGGCCAGGAGACCTCACATTCCCCTAAATTAGAAATTCCTTCACTCCGGGGGTGGCACGGATGGCGGTGGGTGAGAGCATGGGGTTTGTGCTTTCTTTGTGCTTACAGGGGTAGGGAATCTGCTTTTTCCTTCTGTCCTTGTAATGATAACGGGAGGGATGTGGAAATGGAGGTGCTGAGTTTGGACTGAGACGGTCCAAGCCCTGGCTGGCAGTGTGTGTGTGAAAGGACACTCCAGCACAGGGCACTTCCAGACGGGAGCCTGTCACTGCAAGCAGCTCACCAGGAGAGGCACTAACTAATAATTACGGTCCTATTTCAGCGTAAAATCAAATTATATCTCTCACCACCCCGATGAATGGGTTTTTTCCTCCTCCGCAGCCCCCCCGGGGGATAAATGCCACCTGATCTTGTGCATAGCAGGAGCTGGTCAGTCCCAGGGTCAGAGCCCGAATGCGGATGCCCAGGAACTCTCAGCCTTAAAGCCACGAGGGGTTGTTGCTATGGGAATGGAGAGGGGCTTGCAGGCAGCATCTGGAGCCTGTGTCTCTCCCTGTCCGAGGCAGCTGGATTCGGAGGGAAGCAAAACTAAAAGGAGGTGGCAGAGAGAGACAGAGGCACAGCAAAATGCATGCATGTTAGAGGAGGGACCTTCCCAGAATGAGAGTACAGTGGGATACAGAAGAGCGGGGACACCAAACTGCCAGGCAGCGGTGGCTCGGCTGGGTAGGATAAACCTGATTTTCTGCTCTGATTGACACTGGAAACAAGTCCGGTGAGAGCCCAGCTGTGGCAAGATGGGATCTGCCTCCTCCACTTACCGGCCCAAATGTATTTATTTGGACATTGACGGAAGAATTCAAAAGGTACTTTTGCTGTTTTTCACCAAGTGGCGGCTGCGGGCGGTGTTTGCTGCACGGCCGATCCCAGACGCGCACCCAGCGGGCTCCGCATCCCTTTTCCAGGGGAAGGGGAAGGGGAGGGGGGGATCCTGCGTGCCTTCTGCTTTGTACACGGATGTTTATTTAAAGGGGAAGGGGAGGCTGGCACAGGGGAGGGCTGGGAGCTGCCAACACCCATCGCTGCCAGCTCTCCCTGCCGGCGTGGGGATGCTCGGCTTCGCAGCCGCCTTGGCTTCCTCTCCCGGAGCAGCCGCGTTTACAAAGTTTAGCTCGGGGCGAGGTTTCCCTCTCTCCCAGGCAGTGGGAGCAGGGGATAAAACCAGCAGAGCTCCTCGGTTCTGCCCCAGGGTTCTGCCCCAGGGTTCTGCCCCAGGGTTCTGCCCGGAGGTGGGGCAGGTGCCCCCGGCTCTTTGTGCGGGGGCTGCGGGGCTGCCTCTGCCGAAGTCCCCGGTAAATACCGGGAATTAAAACTTTCCCCGCCTGCCGTGTTTGGTTAAGCACGGTTCACAGAGCAGGGAGAAATGCGTCCCGGCTGAAACAATGCCGACGCCTTTCTGCAAGCTTTTTTTTTTCTTTTTTTTTTTTTCTTTTTTTATTCCCCCCCTTCTCTTTGTCAGCAGTTCTTTGGCCGCAAACCAAGTGCCTTTTCTGTAACAGAGAGGCTCCAGAACAAGCAAACTCTTGATTTGCAAAATTCAGATCGTTCTCGTCTTCCAGCTCTAAATTTTCGCTTCACCCGATCTCGCCTTTTGGTTTTTAATTCTGTAAAGAAACAGCAACGAAAAATGCGCTGTCCTTTACCTCCGCTCTGCTGTGAGTGAAGGCAGAGCTGACACTCACAGTCCCACCCCACCACTGCCCTGCAGACCCACGGCGACCGCTCAAAGTCGCGTCCTCAGGAACAGGACCTTGGAGAATCCAGATCTGTGCCGGATTCCCCCGAGAAAGCTGCTCCCCTTGATCCATCTCAGACGTAGCTCAGTGGTGATGATGGTCCCTCTGCTGCCGTGAGATTGTCCCTGCCGGCTCTGCTGAGCTGAGGGCTGCGATTCTCTTTTCCCAGGTTTAATAAATTGGTTGCCTGGTGGCCTCCCCAAAGCATGGATGGAATGGAGCCTCCTGGTACCTGTACAGTTCAGTACAAAAAAAAAATGTTTTGGCATTTCGAAAGGGTGGTGAGTGTTTTCATAGATGTCGGTAATGCACAGTGTTTGTCATCTATGCTGGATTTAAAAAAAAAAATACAGCATTTCTCCAGCCAGCCTCTGGACAGTACTTTTAGAGAGGCACAGTCACATGAGCGAGCAAATGCAAACTCGGGCAGCATTAAGGGGGTTTAATCTCGGTGAATGTTAACTGTTTTCTTTTGTCAGATGTAAAACCCCGCCCGAGTAGCGTTCGGAAGGATTCCTGAAGTAAAAATGCCGCGCTAATGGGGTTCACCCAGCGGTAAGCAGGGCATAGCTCAGATTCTCCTGCCTTCTCAGTAACATCATTAGAAAGAAGCAGAAGGGAGGGGTGGGGGGAAAAGCAGCAGCCCTTAATCTTCCAAGGAATGCAGCAGTGGAGGCTTCTAAAGAGAACTCATTAAGTCAATGCTAAGCTTCTTGTCAGCCCATAACGAGGAACGAGCTTCATTCTGACAGCACTTGTTGAGTTCGAAAGGGCTCAGCTCCCCGCTGGGCATCTGAGCATCCCACCCCAGCACCGCTTGTGCTTTGCCACTGCTCAGAGGCAATTCTTGTGCTTCCATGGCCTCATCCTGAACTTCCCCCGGTGCTGCTGTAGGTTGTGCTGTTGACTTTGAGAGAAGTGGTTTCACCTCGGGGTAAGGGAAGGGACAAGACCGGCCCAGGGGCTGCCTCCCCCGGGACCCTGCGCCCTCAAAGTGCTCTGCAGCAGGAGAGTGGAATGGAGCTAAGTAGGTTTGTGTGTTGGCAGGTCCAGAGGGGCACGGCAGGGAGGGCAGAGGGACCTGGTGCTTACGAAAGAAGAGTTGGCTGGCTGTGAAATCCTTCCCAGGAGTTATTAAAATAAAGGAGGCACCAGCAGCCCGCTTGAAAGCTGGGCCATGCCAGTGCCAGCACGGCGCAGAGGAAGGGCTGAGCTCCGTATCTGTCTCTCACAATATCCTTCTGGACAAAATGTCCAGCCCAAAATGTCCAGCCCAAAATGTCCAGCCCAAAATGTCCAGCCCACAGCCGGATAACTGCGTGGAGTGGTGGATGAGCAGCTGGCTCCAGGTCAGGCACAAAGGGTTGTAGTGGAGGGGGTGACATCAGGCGGGTGTGCAGTCACTGGAGGGCTCCTGTGCTTTTCAGCACCCTCATCAACAACCTGGGAACAAGACTCTAATGAATACTAAATAAGTTTGGTGATCACACTAAAATAAAGGCCAGAGAGACCTTGACAAATTTGAGGGCTGGGCAATCACCAGCTGTATGAAGTTCAACAAGGGGAAATGAAGGATTCTGCACGTGGGATGGGTAACCCTGGCTGTGTGCATAGACTGGAGAGTGAGATGCTGAAGACCAGCACTCTGGAAAGGAACCTGGGAGTCCTGGTTGATAGAAATTTGAATATGAATCAGCAGTGCCTTGGCAGCCAGGAGGGACATCCCAGTCCTGGGGCCATCAGGCCCAGCATCACCAGCCTGGCAAGGGAGGGGATTGTCCTGCTCTGCTCTGGGCTGGGGCAGCCCCACCTCAAGTGCTGAGGGCAGTTTTGGGCACCACAATGGAAAAAAGGAATTAAACTATTAGAAAGTGTCCCAAGGAGGGCCCTGAGGATGGTCAAGGCCTTGAGGGGAAGCTGTGTGAGGAGCAGCTGGGGTCACTTGGTCTATTCAGACTGGAGAAGAGGGGACTGAGGTAAACTGGCACAGCCAGGCACAGAATTGTCTTCACCAAAGCTGACCCAGCGCTGGGCTCTGCTCCCATGGGCAGAGCTGGCTGAACACCTCTCCAAGCTGGGCCAGCTTTAGGAGGGACCTGAGGTGGCCCAGTCCAGCAGATTCCACCCGTGGGACCCCAAACTGGCAGAGGTCTGGTCACAAACCAGCTTCAAGGAGGTCACTTGTTCTTGGAGCTGAGGGAAAATGAAATTCCAGTGTAACCCTCTTCCTATCCAGCACCCACGTCAAGGGATGCACAGCTGGGGGAAACAAGTGCTGCTCTGTTTATTTATTTCTAAAGGATCTTCCCAGCCAGCAGTCCAGCACCCTCTTGGTTGGTCACACCCCTCCCTCTGCACTTCTCAGGAGCACCTGGGGCTGAGCACACAGGAATCACCTCCGTGTGCCAGCCCTGCCACAGCTTGCTCTGCTGCCAGGCACAGGAGAAGGCAGCAGGGCAAGGGGAAGCCCTGGCTGTGCTGCATGTAGGATGAGGGGATCTCAACCACCATGGACTGGGATTTCTCCGAGTTCCTGGAGTGCCACTAGATGGGGTCAAGCACCCAAGCCCCCAGCATCAGTGGAGAAGTGCCAAACTTAAGCTAGATCTGGAGTCTTATTTTCCTGTTATTAACCCTTTGGCTGCGTTTTGAAGAAAAATTCCTATTGAATCTGTTTTTCATTAAAAGTCCATCAGGAAAAAGAAAAACAAACCCAAAACGTTTCCCAGCTCATGCCCAATCATTTTTTTCCATGGAGAAACTACTGGGAACATTTTCTTTTGACCTTTGAGATTTAAATGGTAGCAGAGGAGAACCAGCCAGTGACCTTATTCCCAGCAGGATGGCTTCATGGCTCTCCTTTTCAAATGTCACAGGGTAGTGGCTTTTGCTTGCACAGTTTTAAGGAGTTCATCTGAGAAAAATGCTTGTTTCAAGATCATTTCTGTTTCCAGTATCTTAGTCAACATCATATTTGTAACATGTATGGAAAATCAGAGGGCTACAGAGCCTGAAGTAACTGGAAAAAAAGAAGAGGACTGTTGTCTTTGTCAAGGATTCTATGAAATCACTCAATGGTATTTTCCTCAGAAAGCAAGTAAAGGATTTGGGAGTCATTTTGCTGGTTTATTGAGTCATTCTGGATGTTTACCAGAAAATTTGCCCTTTTTTTTTTTTTTTTTTCCTTAAAGAAATGCATTGAGTTCAAGCTTTCTGGGTGTCTACTGACCTGACTTGTGTTGTAGGACACTGAGCCATCCACAGCCATTGTTCCTCTTGGCCTGAGATCCCCAAAGAACAGGACAAGGCTCAGAGTGAACTTTGGTGCCGTGGTTGTTGCATGGAAACATCAGCGTGCAGGAATCGCTTCTGTCACCTGAGCTTTTCTTTTCAATTACAGCAGCAGCAGCTGTGGTATAAATGCCCAGATTCTAGCAAAGCCAACAGATTTTTCCAAGGCTCACCAGGCTATTTTTTAACCTCCAAAACTGGATTCAGATGAAAAACGAAACCAGCAGAAAAAATAATGGTGTGATGATCCCTTCGAGGCGAAGGCAAGCCCATGGAGCCATGCTGTGTCTGTTTGGACTGAGGATTTAGGGGAACACCCTTCCAGCTGCCAAACACCAAGGGGGTGCACAGGATGGGTGTTCATGGCACTCAGGACACAGGCACCTCTGGGGGCCACATCCTGCTTTAGCACATTGGGGCATAGGAATGTTTTTGGGGCATCAAGGCCATTTTCTTAATGCTGGCAGAGCTCTGTGGGTGTGGATGTTGAGTCTGGCCAGGTCTTGGCTAAGCTTGGCTTTCTCACTTTAGCTGGTCCTGGTGAACTTGTTCTTGTTCTTGTTGTAAAGCAGCACTAAATGAGCAGCAGGTTCCTTGGACTCTGTCACATTGCAGCATATAAACATTTTAAGGAGTAAAAATGGCTTAAACCCATGCTTTTAAAAACATGAACGATAATGTCACACTCTTCCTTCTCCTTCCTCCCCAGTGGGGGCAGAACATTTAGGGGACAAACCATAATCTCAGCACAGCTCTGTAATTCCAGCACAGCTCCAAAATTCTTCAACTTCCATCACCCAGCAAGAGGTGCTTACTGCTGTTTATCTTTGTGAAGTCACACTCAGTATATTGTATTTATTACAGTTTACGTTCACACTAGTCCAGACAAGGTGTAAGTTTAACACTCTCAGTCTAACACTTTTCTCATAGGTAACTCTGGTGTTACCTACAGGTTCAGACCAGCCAAATATAGCTTATTGTCCTCATTTAAAACTCTTCTGGTTCCTCACAAACAAGACAAAATAATTCTGTTTCTAGGACTGATACCTTAAGTTTTAACTGAAAATTTTTCCAGGTTCTGTACTGCATTAGTGTATAACTCTGAACTTCATACAAAGTGTTAGCAAGTTCTCCTCACAGTTTAGTTATACAAAACAATCCTTTTCCAGCCCAAGAACTTTTGCAGCTTCAGGCCCAAAAAGTGCAAACAGCAGCGAATTGAGGAGAGCAAACTGGGAGGATGGAACTGCATAACCTGGAACTGGAATTGGACAATTAACCCCAATATGGAAATGGACCAAAACCTATAAAAGTGTGAAAAGGTGTGACCCAGGAGCCCATCCTGGGTGTAGCCTCAGCCAGGATCTTGTACTACCCAAGGTAGTACTCAAAGGCCTTTTGAAGGCTTTTTAATAAATCTCTACTTTATTCCTTTAACACAGTCTAGCCTCTGTTCTGGGCAATCTCTCAAGGCATCAGAGCCTTCCTCATGAACTTGCTTATAGAGATCCAGGTCAGTCTTTTGCTGGTCTCTCCTCAAACCTGCCTTTCCTCACTCCATTAATTAACATTTTCCTTCTAACAGTCCTCTATTACCAAGCCAGTTCCAATGTCAGACTATAACAGTGTGAGCAGCTTGGGAACAACCAGCTTCACTCACAACTACTGAGAACATTTGGTGCTAAAGCATCCCTATTATCCAGTTTACAAAACATTTCAAGCCTCATGCATTCCCTGCAGGGTTAATTGCACTTAATACTCCATTAGCAGCAAATGTGTGCCCTTCTTATGTTAAGAAAAGCCAGAATATAGACATTTGTGTTGTTTGTTAAAGGTTGAAATACTTTTTATGAAATGTTTTTATTTCTGCTGCAGAAGGCAGGAAGCTTTCAGCCTGGCCCCTCACAATCAGCCTTGCTGGATCCTGGTTGTGTTCTGCCATTAATAATTAGTACTGACAGATGCAATATTTGCAATATGTCCCTTGGTATAGTCAGTAGGTTGCACAAGTCTCTCTTGAATGTCATCTCCCTTTTTCTATGAGCCCTAATTGTTGCTATTAGACACAAAATTAGTACACAGAAGCTTGGTGAGTTCAAGAGAAAAAAAAAAAAAAACATATATTTTATTTCTGACCTCGCAATATATAAAATTCCAAAAGTGACAGTGGATTGGAGGGTGAAATTGCCACCTCTCCAGCCACACTGGCCAAACCAACAATCCATCAATTCTCTCCTCCCACAAAGAAGAATGTAAAACAATCATTATTTACATGAACAGTGTGTGAGAACTCCAGTAGAAACATGTAAACATTATCAGAAGGCTAAAGAAGTTTTATGAGAACTTTCAAAATAACTAGAAAAGAAAACTTAATTTTTAAAAATCAGGGCAACATCTAATGACTCTAAAAATTACTGAGATCCTTCTTTGCTCCTAGTGGAAGAGCCAGCCTCTGTCATGCTGCCTGGGCTCACACACCTACGAGTGCATCAAAGACATTTTTCTTTCCTAAAAAGAGGAAAATCTTTTTTCAGGGATGTAACAGGGGTGGGAATTGTGACTTACCACATGCCTTGGGATCCTGGCACGTCAGCTCTGTCTGGCAGCTCCTGTTCCTTCATGTAGGGCAATGTACAGGGAAAGGAATGGGATTCACCCCAGTTAACCACAGGAGTTGTGGCTGCTCCAGGAGAGTCATGCAGGTTCCCCTGTAGTCACTGGGGAGGGAGGTGGCATCTCCAGGGGATGATCCATCCCACCCTAAAGGGGGTTTGGAGACATGTGGGCTGGTTTGGAGATTGTCCTCCTTCTCTGCTGGCAACAGAGGGCACCTGGCAGAGAGGCACTCGAGAGATGCTGAGCCTGGGGATGGTTAAAATTACATCAGGCAAACCCCACACGTACATTTCGTGTTGAAATGAACATTCTAAAGCCATGTCCCTGCCCACAACTGTGTGATTCAGCAGGATTACAGAGATGTGGCTTTTGGGATAAAATATCTGCCACATTTCTCATCCTCTATCAGAGTCAGTGTTTGAAGAGCTCGGGGGAGTTTTCATTTTTGCTCAGACCCTTAGGTGAGGGCTTTGGTGTTTTCTCCCCCACACATGGACATGCACACATGCTCTGGTTTTCTGTTCTTCTCTTAGAGAAACTCCCACTGTATCAAACAGATGGCAAATCTGGCAGACTATTTTTAACGCTCCTAACATTCGAAGCTCAGATAAATGAGTGGTTTTCTGAATATCAGCTGTTAATTAGTGCCAGAAATAAAAAAAGAGATGGAGAGTTTGGGTATAGTTGGGCTGATGCTATGTTTGTATCTGAGTTTAAAGAATGAGAGAGATGGAATGTTTTTAAATATGGGATTTTAGGTAAAGCTTCTTTTGGATATTAAGGACTATGACAGAGTCATTTATGGATATTTTTTGAGGAACACCTATTTGCTTATGGGTCAAGAAATATGAATTCCTTCCAGTGATTCCTAGAGAGGGATACCTAAAATTTCTGTATCATTCTTCATTTTGTTATGGATGACAAACACCTCTGGAAAGACAGGGAAAATCACAATGAAAAATTTCACATGAACCTGCTGCCTTAATAGTTCAGAAATCCTCCATGAAAGCTGCCCTTACAGAAGCAGCAGCAATTTTCACAGTCCATGCAAGATACATAACTGAGTTTTACTAGAATCTTTTCTGACACAGTACTCCCCATTCTCGTTAGTGAAAGATTGTAATTTAGATTGTTTAAAGGCTGCAATTTCAGCCCTCGCTCTGAACATTGCTCACTGAGCTGAATGAAATGCATGAGCAAATGCTAAAGTATTGAAGACAGCAGGTTGAAATCAGAAGAAAAGAAGTGGAAACTAATGGGCACAGTGGCTTCAAAAATATTTTTACATTATTATTTAGTAATTTTACTAGAGTAAAATAAAAATAATCAAACAGAAGTTAAATTCTTGGAAAAATACCCAATTACAGACAGCAGATCAGAACAGGATAATGTTGTGGACATAGTTTGCTGTTTACAGAGAGGATTAGCTCTCCTGAGGATCAAATATAGAACAGAAATTGGATTTGTAAGCTGTGTTTTTACCTATCCTATCTGAAAGCAAAATATAATGTGATTAGCTGTGAACTGGTAGGCTGCAGAGTCTGTGCACAATGGTCCTTTAGTAAAATCTCCATCACAGTCCTTAATCTGAGCTCTTCACCAAGTGGGAAAGCCAGCCCAGAGCACCAGGGCTCCTAACCCCTGCTCTTCCCAAGAGGGGTTTTTTAATCCTTGTCCTAGACCAGAGGTGGATACTGTGGATTAAGAGATAATAGCTCCTTATTTCAGAAGAAAATGTTTAAAAAACCCTGCAGAACTGTTTCCAGGAAAGAAACCAGTCCCACAGAATTGAGGGCCAGGCCAGGAACCAGGCATCCCCATCAAACTGCTGCTGTCCTACTTTGCAGTCCCTGCATGCCTCATCAAAATGTTATTTCCACTCCAAAAAGTCTCAGTTATTATTCATTCTGCTTTTTCCCCAGTTGCATCACGTTTCCTTCCAAGGCACACAGGACATTGCCCACTTAAATGGAATGGCTGCTCCTTTGTCTTGATGGAAACTCCTTGGCAGAAACAAGTTAAACATTCAGAGAAAGCTGCTTTTCCTGTCTTTTTTTTTTCTACATGTGGTAGAATCATAGAATTGGGTTGGAAGGGACCCTTAAGGGTCTAGTTCAACCCTCTGCAGTAAGCAGGGACATTTTCAAATTGATCAGGTTCCTCAGAGACCCATCCAACCTGGCCTTGAATGTTCCCAAGGATGGGATATCCACCATCTCAGAGGTTGTGATAACAACAGCAAGGACAGAAATACAAAATCATGTTAACTCTCAGGGAAAAAAAAAAAAAAAAAAAGAAAAGAAAACAATAAAAAAAAAAAACCCTGTTTGCAGATGCTGGATGACTTTTCAGGAATACATCCTTTTCCTCCTGGCACAAATCCAAGGGAAGTGCAGTTAACAGGGTTTATATGTGGCTGATTTTTTTCTCGACAATTAGTCATCAAGCTGAAGCAGAGGCCTGTGTTTCCCTTCCCCAAGTGGTTTGTCACTGCTGTGACTGCTCAGACATGATTTCAGTTCTGCCTTTGCTTTCAGAAGCTGAGTGTCTTGTGTGTTGACTGGTCTTGCAGGAGACTTTTGTGTCACCAGGCAGTATCAGAGTCCCTGTCTCCTCTTTTTCTTCATCCCTGGAGGTTAATCCCTAGATTTTTTTGGGCTGACTTGCATGACTATGCACTTTTTAAATGTGTACTATGACAAAACCTGGAATTTCACTAGAGAAAACCCTATACATGTGTGATCTTAGCCCACTACCAGAGCTGGAGGAACTGCTCTGGTCTCCCAACTTTGGCCTCTGTTAAGCAAGATCTCAATCTTCTCCTAAGCAAAGATATCTTCCAGCACCAGGCATTAATGCAGGGAATGGGATGCTGTGAGGTACATCTCAGCAGTGGCTTGTCACCCACAGGGACCTAAGTAAGATGTGGGTCAGAGTCAGCTGAGACAGGTCTGAAGGGAGACAAAATGTGTGGATCACACCCCCAGACAGTGCCAGAAATGTGTGGTCATGGAGACTCAGGCTGAGCAGCAAAGGTTTTGGGACAGCTGCCCAAGCAGGGACGTGTCCACAGACTAGATGAGATGTTGTGTGCTGCAGCCAGTGCCAGGGCTGCCTGTCCTCAAAGCTGCAGCTCAACCTCTGCAGGTCACGGGACAGCCCACGTGCCCCACATGGGTGCCACCACAGTGTGGCCACCAGCCAAGTGTCCCCACATTGCCTTCCTGCTGCTGATGTCCCCCAGGGATAATGGACTCCAGGCACACAGGATTCCTATTCTGTGCTGGAGCCATCAATAGTGGCCAGTGCTGCCCTCCCACCCTCTAAACCACATCCCAGTTGTGTTCCATCAGCACCACTGGCATCGACTTTGCTGGGAGCACGAACCTGTGGGCAATGACAGGAACAACTGCACGTTGCTACAGAACATCTGAGGCTGGCTGCTGTGCTTTGCAGCAGAAGGGGGATGATCAGAAAAGCTCAGCAGGCTGAAAAAGAAGGAAATCTTAATAGCATGTGCTTTTTGATTTAAAAAAAAACAAACAACCAGCTGAGGACAAGCATCCTGAGATGAGTACGAAACTGCAGTGGGTGATTCACAAATCCAGTTTTAGCAAACCTAAGTAAAAGTGCCAAGTATGGGAAACTGAAAAGCATGTATGGAGATAGCTCATGAGCTAGTATCACAGCCTTTGTTTCGCTTCCCACTCTTTCACTACTGCATGGAGTAAAAGGAAACATTAAAATCCATCCTCAGTGTGTTGAAAGCTCCTACTGCTTTCTATGAGTCAGGCCAACTTTCTTACCTTTAATGTTCCCTAATAATTTTTTTTATCTTGTCCTCTCTTGTCTGTCCTGGTCAATAATAATTGATTTCCAGAATAAGAAGCCTCAATACCTGAAATAGCACTTCTGGCACGTGACAAGCCTTTGGCCTCTGTTCAGCCACAATTAACATCATCTGCCCAGTTACTGCATGTACCAGTTGTACTCCAATATTCTTCCAGCCAATTTTAGCAGCTGTCACTCGTCAGGATGCTGGGTTCTGCTAGGAGCAGGATTTCAGCCCTATCTGAGCTCCATTGGCTATGTTTTATTGCTTTGATTGCTTCTGCACTTGAACAACCAAGGGTCAGTCTTGACTTTCAAAGCACACCCATTTCCCCAGCAGCAGTTAATCCCTGCCTCAGCAATCAAGTGCTTCCAGGTTTTGTGAAGATCCTGCCTGGAGTAATTTCATCTGGGGCAGAACACAGGGAAGGTGGGTGTGAGTGTAGCTGTGGGTCACACCCACCTCTTGAAGTGCCACCTTCACCCTCCTCTCTGCCACAGAACCCCTGGTGCTTTGCTCAGGAGTAGGAAGGCTCCTCACCACCAGTGAAAACTGAAAGCTTCTTTTTGTTCCACCCACACTTGATTTTTTTCACTGGCAGCAGAGATCCTTTTCAATGGCTGTTTTCCCCAGTAAGTCCACTAGGAACAAGATTTTGATTTAGAACACTGGAAAATTCAATAGTGCAACATGCACCCAACAGAGGAGATGTGGGTTTGGATTGGAAGCAACCTCAGGGACGTCAGTCACAAGGATGGAGAGCCTATAAATACACATTTATTGAAATGGGACACTCCTCATGCAGAGTGCTGCTGTTGAATTCTTGAGTGTTTTTCTTTCAGAGGCAGTGTGCTGTCTCTGAATCCAACAAGACATCAAATTAGGACTCCTGAGTTCTGTTTCTGGCCTGCCACTCACCCATGATAAGATACAGGGCAGGTAATTTAACACAAACAAACTTCAGATTTCAGAGTTAAAGTACAGGGATATAATGAGACTGATGGGAAGTGCTGTAATGGTGTTATTAAAGTGTTCTCTGACTGCAGAATAAACTGGGAGGACCATGACCTGCAAGTCCTGATGGACAAAGGAGTCTTGGGGAAAATTGTGGCATAGGATTGTGCCACTGAGGGTACAGGAATAGAAAAATGGGATTGGGGGATGTGCTGCTCAGTCTTCTCTGCACTGGGGCTGCCTGGTGTGTGTGGAAGGGTGAGGGGGTGAAGAGGTGTTTGGGGAGATGGGGAAGTAACAGTGGCAAATTTTGCAGTTCCAGGTCTGGCTTCTGACCTAACAACAGGAACATCTGACAGTAGGAATTTCAGCACAAGCTCTGCTCACTTTCAACCTAGTATAAGCTGGTGTAGTCCAAAAAGCGGTGCCCTTTTATACCATCCCATGATCTGCTCAAATCTGGGCAGTTTTCTTCCTAAATCCGGGCTCTTACACTCTTTTAATTTACAGTTGTTATCATCCCACAGCAACACTGCATTTTGAGGAACCCCCTGCTCTCAGCTCACACACGTTATTGCTCCACTTCTGAACAGCACTTAGGTCTCCAGAGCTTTATCAACAAAGACACAGGTATTACACAGGAGTAGAGAAATATTCCAGCTCACAAATCAAATCAGATAATTGAAATCACAGACTGTGCCTTAAAATTAGCCCAATGCATGCCTGAACACGATTCATATCTCTGTGGGAACTAACCATCTTTTCTCTTGTTCTTCATTTTTTTTTCCCTCTGCTGCTGTTTCCTTTGGAAGGTGATCTTCAGTAAATACTGCAATTCCAAAGATATTATGGACCTTTTCTGCATTGCAACAGGGTTGCCGAGGTAGGTCTGCCATTTGTGACATTCATTTTGCTTTTGTTTCTTTCCTTTGGGAACAATTTAAAGACAGGCCCCCAAATGATTTATTTAGCTGCTATTCAGGCTTGTCTCTCATTCCAGTCTGCTGGAAGAAGAAACTGGGGCAATCAAGAGCTGGAAAATGTGGAGGCAGGGAACTGAGCCACTTTGGTGTTGGCTGCACATGAGGAACAGGGTAGAATAGAGTAGAACAGAGGAGAAATAATCTAAAATAGTAGCAAGTGAAGAAGCCCAGCCCTGAGTATACACAGGTTGGGCACACCTACCATTAATATCTCAGTACTATATTTTTGCCCATGTTGAGTGAAATGCAGGCATATGTTTAGAACCTGGTTTTTAAGGGAAAATATGAGGGCAACAAGAAGTATTGCCACCAGGTAATAAGCTTTCTCTTTAGGTGTTTTTAAATCTAATCCCAGGTATGGGATAGTCAAACACAAAGCACCCCACCTGAACCATTTTATAGAGCAAAAAAATATCTCCAAATCCATTGTCCAGGCCATGTATTTCCTAATTTATATTGTCTCACAAAATCCCTGTAATCCCTCCTGCTGTAATTTTCCATTTGGGGAAAATCCAATTAGGATTTTTTCCCTTCAACATCGAGCAGTATCCAGATGAAATCTCGGTGTTGAGAGGGGTCCAGGGTCACAGAAGGGTGTGTGGGAGAACATCCATCCATCCATCCCTCCTTCCATCCAGCCATCCATCTGTCATCCATCCATCCATCATCCATCCATCATCCATCCATCATCCATCCATCCATCCATCCACCTCTGCAACACCTCCAGGCAATGGAGCAGGTGTGGATGTTCTCAGTTCAGAGGAAGATTTCTGCCAAGCTAAGTCTGGGAAAAAGTCCAGGAGCAATATAAACAATCTATTATCTTGCTTTCCATTCATATTGTTTATAGATAAGTTGTATCACACTGACCTAAGTCCAGTGTACCAATCAGGTGAAATGTTTTTACTTTAAGACCAATGGAATTAATATTCACAATGTTCTCTATAAAAGAGAGAAGTGCTTTTGAATAAACATTCATTTGCCTTCTGAAATCGTACGAGTAATTTTGCCCATCCCTGGCTCAACAGCATCAGAGCAGGGGGAGGGAAGCCCCTAAATCATCTCTAGAACCCTAAATCACCTTTAGAAGGGGGAATCTGCTGTCTGCATAAGGACCTCAAGCAGCACAGGCTGGATGCAACAAGGCAAAGTCTTTATCTCTGGACACTCAACTTTACAATACAGGAAAAGTGCAGGAGAAAAATAAGCCAGTCTTTTAATCATGGTTTTATTGCATGACTTCAGCTCTGGGGATTGAAAGATAAAATTGAATTTGCATAAGCTGCTGGACAGAATTAATGCCCTTTGCTGTTTGCTCTATTTCCTCCCATTTGACATTAGAGAGGTTAATAACTCTCATTTTCCTATGATGTCAAAGATTTCCACTCCATCACCCAGGAAACTTTGTTCAGCAGTTTTAATCATTCACAGTCAGGCTGTTCACTGCATATTTGGCATTTTATTTTCATCAGAAGATTTTCAAAGGAAAATTGCATTTCAACCGGGATCCTGGAGCCAAAGTAAACCTCCAAGGTTTACATCTGAGTCTATGAGATCACCTTTAGCACAGTAATTAAAAAAGAAAAAGACCCCATATTCAGAAAGATATTTGCTTTGTTTGTTTTGGTAAATGAGTAACTAAATAATTTAAAGACATTCATTGCACCATAAGTCATTTGTATGGTATGAGTCAATACATAGCTGCTGAGTCAATGTATCACAAAATACAGCTTTTTAACACAAATTATTATTCAAGGAGTCAAGAGAATAAATGAATTAGCAGGGAGCAAGGTCTGCTCTGGGATCAAAAATTATCACATTTTACATGGGTCAAGCATCAAGCCGACCCTGCCCTGGGCTTTGACTTTTTCTGCTCTGAGGTACCAGAGGTGCCAGGCCAGGAGCAAGGAGAAAAAATGCATCTGCAGGAGGGAAGGTGGCTCTGCATCACATGCACAGCACAGAATTCCAGCTGGCATTTCTAGGTCAAATAACCCTCTTTGGAACTTGCTTTTCAGGAACACAACCATCTCCCTTTTGACAGCAGACAACTGCATGGTGTCCATTGATCCCACAATGCCTGCAAACACGGAGAGGTGAGCCCTGCTGCCTCCTGCTCCTCCAGAACAGGCTCAGCCCCGAGGGCAAGGGAGGTGGCTGCTGCCTGCAGAAGCCTTTTATGTGCAGGGAGAAATGTGTGCTGGCCTGTAACACCATGCTGGTTGGAAGATTTTTACTTGTTAAAGTGGGATTAATTGTCAGGGGGAAAAAATTATGCTTTTAGGTGTTTAATGTAGAACATCTGTTCCCATCCCTCCCTGTTTGCTGTCAAAGCTCTGTTGTTCCCCCACTCCTGATTGCTCTGCTAGGGCACAACCAGCAGATTACCCAAAAAGCCTGTGATGAGTTTAGGTCTCTTCATTGCTGGCTTTGGCCCATATTTCCTTATGACATTTCACTGCCATTGCTCTTATTGATACTGAGTGGTGCTGCCCCAGCAGCTCCTGCACAGGACAGTGCTCAAACACAGAGCAAAAAGAGGTTGTGGCTGCCCCATCCCTGGAATGTTCAAGGCCAGGCTGGACAGGGCTCTGAGCAGCCTGGGATGGTGGAAGGTGTCCCTGCCCATGGCAAGGGGCTGGAGCTGGAGGATTTTTAAAGTCCCTTCCAACCCAAACCATTCTACGATTCTAGAATTCCGTTTCTAAATCAGAGAATCTAATCATTCTGTTTCTAAATTCTCTGTGTTCAGAAAAAGTGCCCATTGCTTACTCAAACTCACAGGTTTTAAGAGATCTTAGAATATCTTCAGATACTTCTTTGTACCTCTCAGGGAGTACAGATGTGAAATGCAAACTGCATTTTGAGTGTGGCTAACATCAACCCTCCGTGGCTCTTCCAGGTCTCCATACAAAGTGATACCAGTTATGACTGAGCAGCTCTCAGGTAAAATGACCTTTTTGAACTGAATCTACCAAAGCTGAATTAAGTAAAGGCTGAATTTGCAAACATTTGCATGTGGAAATCATGTGCCCATGATGCAAAAACCTGAAGAGGTCAGTGTCATGGCTGTAGCAGAATAAGAAGTGTTTGATTACAGTGTTCTGCAGGAAAGCTTAAAAAATGTGCCTGAATTTCCATGAATTTGAGGATCAGGTGAATGGCTGATACCTGTGCCTGGCTCTGGTTTGGTTCAGCATTCCTGATGCCCTGGGGAAAGCCTTGCATGGAGCAGTGAGGTTTTTTCAGGCAAGACAGATGAAAGCCTGTCCTGCAGAGTTTTGTTAAACCTGCCCATTTCTCTGCTGGAAAGCTGAGCACAACATTTGAGCTTCATGTTATTTCCAATTGGCTGAGGAAAGAACATAATTTCTGTTGTGGGCATGGTAGCTCTAAATGTGATAAATATTTAAATTCACCTGACAAGATGAAAGAGGGCCTGGGTGAAAGAAAACATCTGGAGCACATTCCCCAGCCACAGGCAGGGCTGGAGTGCCACTCCTCCCACTTCTCTTTGCTGTCAGGATCATGCTCTCAGACACTAGAGCAGAACATTGGCTTGGGGCAATTCCTGTGAGCATCTGGCTCGTGGTTTCTCTCATCTGTGCAGCTGCAGAGTCTCCTGCCACTCATATCAGGGCAGCCTGAACACCCTGGAGCCATAACAGGAGAGGATTCATCAGCTGGGGACATTCCTGGGAGCAGTTACATGGGAAGATAGGAGAGACAAAGGGCAAGAGGTTATGATTGTGCTGGAAACAGAGTGCACATGCAGAACAGGTGTGAGACAGAAAGCCTGGGGCTGGAAAAAGTGGTGTGCAGGAGCAGGTGAGTTTGTTGGGATAGGAGAGATGATGTTTTGGTGGTCCCACCTCATCTTCTGGCTTAGGGTCCTGAATGATGGATGGAAACAGTGTCTGACAGCACTGTGTCTTCTAGAAGGGGAGGCACAGGGAACTGAGGCTGTTCTCTGAGGCATCTGCCCTGGCAGAAACATCTGGAAAGGAGGATGTGGGGGAGACAGAGAGGCAAGAGCAGGGAGGGAGATTGTGCATGCAGGGAGCAAAGGTGAAGAGAGAGCAAAGAGAGCATAGAGGGTTGGGAACAGGGAGGAACCCACCCACAGTGAGATTTGTAGCAAGCCATAAACAAATCCCATGTCAGTGATTGCCAGAAGGAGGTAGTCACAGCCAAGGGACACGTGTGACTGCTAAGGGGAAGAAGCTGTCTGCCAAACGATTTCCTTATTGTGACAAACCCTGCTGCAGCAGCATCGCTCTCCTGGTCTGGGAGCAATTTTGCATTATCACACCAGGAAAGGTGGGGTGGAGCTCGTGGCTCTGTGTCCCAGCTGCTGTGAGTAACCAGTCTCCAATTGCCCCATGACAGAGAAATGGGGCCAGCATGGCTCCAGCAGGGAATGCCACTGAGTTATACCAGCTGGGAAGCAGTTTGAGGGGCTTACTAGAAAATATTCTCCTTTTTAAATGTATTTTTTTTTTATTCCCCTACCATGAAGCTAACAGTATATTTTTATAGGACCATGGATGACTTTTCTCACTCTCCCAAGGCCCTCATTTTTCATCCCCAGCTGACAGCACATGGCTCTGCTTTGTGCAGAGCACAGCTCACTGTGTCAGCAAGATCTCTCTTCACTCCCTCCATTTCATAAAACAAGGATTTCCAAAGATCTGAGCTGAAAAGGGCAAGAAAAATTCTGGCCATAGATTGTCAAAACATAAGACAGAGTCTGCTATGGAAAGAGGAAGAAAGTTGAGCTGAGTGTGATGGAACTAATGTTCCTTGGTATCTTTTTCTCTTTCACATGGCTTGTCATTAATCTTAAACATTCCTGACATTTTGCTGACAGTAGGAAGAATAAACAGAGTGGGAAATTGTTCCTTTTCATTAAAAAAAAAAAAAAAAAACAACAACAAAAAAAAAACCCCAAAAAAAAACCCACAAAACAGCTCTGTTCTATTCTTCACTTCTCACACAACTCTGCCTGCATCATTCTGCTTCCCAAAGCAGCTCATCCAAATAGGTGCCAGAATGGGGTCACCCCAATTTTCCCAGTGGTGGGAGGTAAATGCCCCTCTTTCAGCAGCTGCAGGAGAATGACACAAGGAACAGAGGCCATAAAAGGTGGGACTGGGAAATATAATCTTTAGGGAGGAAAAAACATAAGCAATGGCTTCTATCCACCAGAGGAGACATCCACTGGAGTCCTGCTAAGAAACAGTTCTTAATTTCCTGACCATAGTCAGGGGAGAGGGTTGGAAATAAATAAAAATCATTATTCCAGAGAGTTTGGATGCTGTAGCCATCGATGTGTCAGAGGTCAGACGTCTGCAAGTGTTAGGATTAGGGTTAGGTTCAGGGTTAGGGTCAGGGTCAGGGTTAGGGTTAGGTTCAGGGTTAGGGTCAGGGTCAGGGTTAGGGTTAGGTTCAGGGTTAGGGTCAGGGTCAGGGTTAGGATTAGCATTAGGTTCAGGGTTAGGGTCAGGGTTAGGGGAGGCCTGAGCTAGCTGGCTCTGAGCCTGTGAAGCTGCTGGATCACATCCTGTCCCTCCTCCTGTGGCCCTGGACCAGAACATTCGTGGCTGTCCATGCAGACCATCAAAACCTCCATGGCAAACTCTTTTGTCTGTGGTATATTAATTTCCAAGCCCATTGAGTGAGCACCCTCTCCCTCCCACCAGCAGAAGGGCTCTGGTCTGTGTCCTCCTGGTGAAATTGGCTCACAACTCACAAAATTGTTGGCTGTGCTGTTGCTCTAATTAGTAGGGTTCAGGCACTTATAGATTTGACAGGGGTGACCATTAAATGAACAAACCCTATTAGCAGCACCCTCTTGAGGGATAAAATTGAAGTCTGATGCGTTTCTGACAGTGCAGAGAAAGGAGCTGTTGTGGAGGTCAAAAGCGAGCCTGACCCAGTGTGGTCTGAACAGGACAGGAAAATATTCCCAGGGATTTTCCTCCTGCTCCAAAGTTAGGGCAGAAAAGCCCAGCAGTGGCTGCACTAGAGATCTGCAGGGGTGATTTCCCCCCTGGATAATTCAACACCCCAGTGTGGTGTGGTATTGGTAAAACAACAGAAGCTTGTCACTGTGTCAAAATCTTCTTATTCTGCCATCTCTCTCTTCTGCTTTTAGAGTCTTGTTCATGCTCTCAGCTCAGGCAAGACTGAGGAGGCAGAGACTGGGAGAGAAAAATCCTCCCTCCTTAGGGTGCATCCCACATGGATGCGTGCCCTGGGCTGTGGCCAGCTCCTTCAGGATTGCTCACCTGATGGGGAATTTGCATGCAACAGCCCAAATTAACCTGAGCTGTGAATTACATGAATCTCCATATGACAGATTCATGCATGTGGGCTTGGGCTTGAAACTCACCCCTTCCTGAGGCTTTTGTGGGTTTTTTAAATTACTCTGACTGCCCTGATCCAAGCAAACCACACAAAGCGAAATGCAGACAGAAGCTTCAGCCGGAGGCAGAAATATTTGTGAGAAACAGGGCAGGGATTCACCAGCCTGGTGCTGGCAAGGAAAGGGAGATGCCCATGCCCTCCCAGCCTTGCTTGGCCAAAGCAGAAAAGCCAGGGGGAAGCCAAGGCACCTCCCCAACCACACAGACTCTCTGCTCACAGCCTGTGGAGGCTGGCAGGGTGGCAAAGGCTGGCAGGGTGGCAAAGGGAGCCACGAGAGTGGGAGGATGGAGGTGGCTCCCTGGCCGTGATCCCAGAGGGTGAGGGGGTACAGGAAGAGGCAGAGGGTGCCTGCCAGTGGGTAATAAACCATCTGTGCCAGGGCAGCTCACCTGAGCTGCTCAGTGTGCACCAGGTGCCCGTCTGGCAGGGAAGGTTGCTCTCCCTGCCAGCCTCCCACGCGGCCGAGGTGGGAACCACAGGAAAAAATGCTGCTGCCATATTCTCCCTGCACCTGCTTCCCTCCCAGAACGTGCTGGAGACGAGGCAGAACAGCTCCTCTCTCCCTGCTGAGCTTGGCAGAGGCCATAGGGCAAAGAGCAGGAGTGCCTGGAGCCGGGAATGAGCCCTGGGGAGCCTGGGCAAGCCTGAGCTGCCTGTCCCTGCCCAGCATTAACCATTGCAGCATCTTCTGGGGGGTTCTGCTTGTCACCTCTCAGCTGCAGAACACCCAGAGTGTTGTGGAAAACCCTGACTTGCTGAATACCTGGACTTGTAGATGTCGCACATTGGCGGTGCTGGTGGGAGGTGAGGGGAGAAGAAAGGGGTTTTTTTTGGGGGATGCTGCAACAGGACCCTCAGCAAAGCACCCAGTGCTGCTTGCAGTAGGATTTCCTTTTCAGAAAGGGAATTACAACAAAACAAAGGAAGCAAACTGAGGGAAAAGGTGTCTGTGTGCACCTGGGGCTTCAGCCCTGCCCAGAGGTATTAAAAAAAAAAGAAGGCAGAGGGTAATGAAGGGAGCAAACACACTTAACCCTCCTATTTTACAAAGGAAGGGGCAAACAAGACTAAATTATGTCATAGCAATGTCTCATTTTCTTCAGAAACCAGGGTTACCAGAGGTCTTCCCGCAGAAAGGAACAGGGCAGGGAAATGGATCTTTGTCTCTTTAAGATGAGGCGAACTGCCACTCTTAGTCATATATCTTTACTGCACCCTAGGGTTATAAAAACATACATCTTCATTTTCAAAGTCTTTTATTACATCCATAAACATCAGATTGCAGCTGACTGTTCCCTGGATGGGAATTTCTTAGTACTCCGAGTGAGTTTTGGCAGGGGGAGGGAGTGAAAGTAAGATTGTTGGGTTGTTTTTTTTGTTTTTTTTCTTTACTGGAGCAGTGTTTATAGGGAACTTGTCAGTCTCTGGCATGCTCCAGCCACTGTCAGAAGGCTGAGCAGCATCGAAGGGAGAGGACACGGGTTTCTCTGCTTTCTCTGCTTATTTTCCCTCTTGGACTCTGTGCCATCCCAGGTGCTGCCCACGGTAAGTTTTCCTCCTCTCTTAAAACAGGACGCGGCGTTTGCTTTGTTTCAGCGCTTGGGTTTTGTGAGAAAACTGGAAAATGGGTCTCTGTGAGAGGAAGCAATCTGTGTTTTCTCTGTAAGCCACTCCGCTGGGAGCTGGGGAAAAAAAAATAATAAAAAAGAGAGAATTAGATCTGAGACTTTCAGAGTGCTTGTCCCAGTTTTGAGACACAGGAGGTAACAGGCAAATTGTTTTGACCAGTGATGTGAATGCTCTTGACAAGTATTGCTGAGGTCTCTAATACCCGATGAATTGCAAATCCTTTCAACAGGTACAAGAGCTATTATTTAGAAATGAATGGTAAATGCTGGGCTGTATTTCTGTCTGGTGTCTTTTGCCTGGGTGATTGCACTTGTGAGGCGCCGTGTTCCCTCGGGGAAGGACAAGAAGTATCTGCAGAAATGCCACCGGGTGTTTCTGTGTGGGGTATAAATAAGTGTTCTGTAATCTGCAGTGGGTTTGTGAGTGCACTCAGAGCTTCCTTTCCTTGAGCATATCCCCAGTGCAGGAATCACTGCAGCACTTCGGGGCAGTTGGCATTAGCTGCTGGGGGAAAGAGGGAACAATCCCAAAACAGCATCTCAGGGCGCAGCAAAGGTGATTTGTGCTTCCCCTCTCTGTGTGGACATGCTAAATGATGGGAAAACATTGCTATCATACTTATTCCTTCCTAAAGTCTGCTTTTGGAGGATGAAATCCAGGGTCCTGCTTTGAGGGGTTGTTTTCTTTTCCTTGTGTTGGGAATTGCAGTCCTGTGATCATCTTGGGAAGAGGCTGAGGCTTCATCAGGCTGAGTTTCCTGAGCCAGCAGAAGATCCTGAGAGCCCACGAGGGCTCCCAGTGTGGCCACTGCTGCAGGAACTCGGGGAACAATGGGATCTTGACAGGATCCCCGTGGCAGCTCCGTCCAAGCTGTGTTCTCAAGGGAAAAGGGGCTGGGAAAGTTGTACCCTGCTGTGTCCATCCCCCAAACCAGGAAGGGCAGACCTCGTTCTGCAGGGACAGCACTTTGTCATCTCGTGTTTGTTTGCCTGGAGTTTGTGCAAGGCAGAACAATCCTTAGGCACTTGCACCAGGAAAAATTGGTCTCCAGGGTAAAACTGAAAGGCAAGCTGGGTTTTATTTTGTGTTCATGAGCTGTGGTGTTGTCCACACTGTGTCACAGTGTGCTGGTGGTGTAGAGACGCTGACTGTGAGCAGGAACTTGCAAAAGCCAGTTGGGATTTTTGGGATTCTGGATGTGCCACCCAAGGTCTGTGGAAGGTCTCCCCTCCAGAAAGTGCTGCCTTAAAACAGGCCAGCTCTCAGAGACCCAGCCTCCCAAAAATAAAACTTCTGAGAAACCCTGGCTGTAATCTGCAGGAAGAGGAAGGCAGGTGAGATAAACCCTGTCACTCTTCAAAGGACCTGAACAAATTTTTGGCCTCACCATCAGAACTGGAAGCCTGGGGACACCACTTTGCAGAAGGGCTGAGGATGTTTTCTTTCCTTTCTTTTTTTCCTGTCACGTCTTCCTTCTATTTTTTTTTTTCAGAGAAAGAAGAATTGTTCCAGAATTTATTGGGACAGATTGCTGAGCAGTTCTCGAGGTAAGAAACTGAACATCATTATTAATTTAAAATGTTATTTCTTTTATCAGCCTGAAGTGAAATTTTCACAGGAGGCAGAGGGGCATTTAAGACATCTTTCAAATCCCACTCTGCCTGCCAAATTTAGGTCTGGGACACATTATTTCCTGCTGACAGCAATACAGTAGCTCAAACCAAAAGCAATTTCAGTGATTAACTTTGATCTAAAAAGGAGATCAAGTAGTAAATGCTCCTTCTCTCTTAGTAAGCAAAAGAAGTGCTTCTTTGTTGAGCGGTCAAATCATCAGATTTGTTTCATTTTCCCCTTTATCACCCAAAAATGTCTCTCCTGAGAGAGGATGTCTCAGCATCTATGTAGCTGCTTATTTAATCCCAGCTGGTTTCAATAAGAGAGATCAGTCCCACCACAGCCCAGCAAACCACCAGTGTAACTGGACAGGAGGGGAGGAGGATTCAGAGTGTGCAGACACCAAGACGCTGCTCTTGGACAATTATAAATTATCAATTTAACAATTATCAATTTAACTTTGCTGCCCTAGGGGCGGGGTACAGTAGCAAGTCACTGCTGAGAGAGGGGGAGATGAAGTGTTGTAGAGCCACAGGACATTCACAGGGCCATAAAAAAAAATCTCCTGTTATTTTTTCTGAAAATTAAACCTGGGTGTATTTTCTGCCCCAATGTTAGCATTTCCATGGAAAATTCTCTTTTCCTCGTGACAAACATGGCTGGGCAGATCAATCATAGAGACACAAATATGGACTTTTCTAGCAGAAGTTCTTAGCACCTAGGGTAGGGAGAGCATTAAATGTATAACATTAATACATGAGGGTTTTCTTTCCAGGGTTTTTAAAATCAATGAACTGAAAACGGAAGTAGCTAATCACTTGGCAATGCTGGAGAAAAAGGTTGAATGTGAGTGTCCCTTTATTCCTATCACAGTGGGAACTGGTGCCTTGTGACTTCTGACCTGTCCTGCTCCTCCATTCTCTCTAATCCCCTGTAATTTGGCCAATTTTGAGCCCCATAGACCACAGGTCGGCCCTTGGTGAGGCATGGGGATGGTGGGAGCCTGTGGTGGCACTGATGTGGGGACCAGGGTGGTGCTGCCAGCATCCAGAGCTCCTCCTGTCCTCCGTTTGAGGGGCTGCTGAGCCCTGCACTGAGCTTTGGGGCCACGTCCTGCTGTTCCCATGGCCCTGTGGCAAAGGGTCTCCACCACCCACCTCTCTTTCTCCCCCTCCCAGCCCCTGGCCAGCCCTCCCGTGTCCCCCATGGCCCAGGGGCTGTCACCTCCCTGCACCCAGCAATGACCCCCCATCCCTCTGCACTCCCTGACCCTCTGACACTGGGAACTTGATCCCTCCCTCACTGGGGCCTTTGGGTTGTAATTCCAGGGGGAACACCCTCCTCCTGCTGTCAGTCCATCCCCCACAGAATCCCAGAATCACTGGGTTGGAGGAGACCTTCAGGATCATCGAGTCCAACCAGTCCCAACACCTCAACTCAGCCCTGGCACCCAGTGCCACATCCAGGCTCTGTTAAACACACCCAGGGATGGTGACTCCACCACCTCCCGGGCAGAACTTTATCACCATTTCTGTAAAAACTTTTCCCTGCTATCCAACCTGTATTTCACAGCTCGAGGCTGTGAGCTCTGGTTGTGTCAGTGCTGCCTGGAGAAAGAGCCCAGCCCCAGCTGGGCACAGCCACCTTTCAGGAGCTGTGGGGAGTGACAAGGTCACCCCTGAGCCTCCTTTTCTCCAGGCTGGGCACCCCCAGCTCCCTCAGTTGCTCTTTGCACCCTAACACAACCACATTGATACAGTGCAACAGCCAAATTCAATTCACCCGGTCAATGAGCTCCTTTTTTGGGGTTTTTTTGGGTGGTTTTTTTTTCTCCTTGTGCAGTTTCTGAGTTGTTTCAGTACATTAGGCAGAACACAGTCCCAGAGAGGCAGGGAAGGGGTATGAATGAGGTGCTGCCATCCAGCTGTGACTCCTAAGGCCACATCCTTGAAGATGCTCAGCGCTGAAGTCAGGAGCAGGGAGAGCCTTTCCCAGCACTACAGTTGCACAAAGAACTTTCCCACTAGGGCTGGTGGGGAAAAAAAAAGAGTTTCTGGTTCCTGAAACATCCCCTGACCAGAAGCTACCTTGACCCTGCAGCTGCTCAGGGAGACTGATCACAGAAAGAGGGGCTGGGGATTTCCCATTTCTCCATTTTCCCACTTTTCCCAATCCCATTTTCCCATTTCTCCCACTTTTCCCATTTTTCCAATCCCATTTCTCCCAATTTTCCCATTTTTCCAATCCCATTTTCCCATTTTTTCCCATTTTCCCCATTTCCCCACCCAGGAATCCCGGTGATCTCGCTGTTCCCGGTGGAACCCACGTTCCTAGGAGAAGCCACCATGCTGGTGTGCCTGGTGGAGAACATCTTCCATCCCAGTTTCCCATTCCCATTTCTCAGTTTTTCCCATTTTTCCCAATCATTTTTTCCCATTTTCCCAAATCCCATTTCGAATCCCATTCCCATGTGGAAAAACTAAGAGGAAGAAATGTCCTTACTTGAAGAGCAGCTGCAGGGAAGCCTCTCCCTGTGGCCACCCCAGCCTCAGCTCCTGGTGCTGAGGGATGTCCATGAATTCCTCCCTGTCTGTTTGGCTGCTGCTTCTCTCAAAGCTCTGCTGGTTTATTCTTTGACCCAAAAAAAAAAAAAAAGAGAGAGAGAGAAAAGACAAATGAGCTCAGTCACTCTGCATTTTCAGTGAAACTTCTGCCTAGCTCCACTCCTCAGGGCTAAGTGCTGTGGATTAGAGCAAATGAGGTAAGATGTGGGTCTTGTATCCCCTTGGCAGCCCTAGAAAGCAACTATCCCAGCCAGCCAGGGGCTGCTTTTGGCCTCTAGTGAGCCCCTGGGACCCCTGGCACAGCCTCTGCCTCTCAGCACTGGCAGCTCACAGCACAGGAGGGAGATAACCAAGGTATTCATGCCATTCCTGGCAGGAAAAAACGGAGTACCTGCCCACTCCAGCACTTGATTGCTGGTTTAGGGAAGGCAGCATGCCCAGAGCTGCTGGGCCATGCAGGAGGACTGAATTCCCTGCTCCCCCTAGGAGGGTTCTCTCCCTCTGTGGGTCCCACTGCTGGTGGAAGCAGCAGCTGATGGAGAAATCTGTGGGAAGGAGCTCCCTGGGCTGCCTGTCTGCTCAAAGTCAGGCTTCCAGAGTTTGCAACAGAGCCCAGTCTGCAGCATTCTGAAATAATTCCCTGGGCTGTCATGTTCAAGAAGCAAAACCGTGGGAGAGAGGGAGTGTCCAACCTCCCTGCTTGAGCTGGGCTCCCAGAGGTTGCTCTGAGAGCCGTGTTTCACTGCTGGATTCAGCCCAAGGATTTCTTTAGACAGCACAGGGTCTTTTCAGAAGGTATTTCTCGCTGCAGAATAATGTAATGGGCCCTTAATCAGTGCACATGACACGGCCATTTATCATTTGCAAGCCAAATGTGGAAAGACTTGTTCTTTTATTTTGCCTTTTCTCCTGCCTTCTTCAGAGATCCCTTTTCCATCACTTTCACATGTGCTCTCCAGGATTTCTTCCTCAGAGGGGACATGTGTGTGTGTGGGGATAAGTGCTCATGACAGCACTACATCTGCACCTCACATGAAATGTTCTCAGCTTCCTTCCCATTCCTGCCCAGAGATGTGTTTTCAGGGAGCCAAATCTTTTAGCTGATTTCTAAATCCCAGCTAAAGCTTGTCACTTCCCCTTGGAAAACGAGCCCATGCAGAGCTGGCACCAGGAATGCTTTGTCCCATGGCTTGACTTTGCACAGCAGCTCTCACAAGAATAAGGAAGCTGGCAAGAAACCCTTTGCAATTTGTAAGCACTTCACATCTACCTTAAGAAAATAATTATGTAAATTCCCTGCTCCCCCAGAGAGATTTGGGATGAAAACCGAAGAGATGCAACACGAAAAAATGCTCAGGGCTGCCATTTTGCACCAGAACTCCTCTTCTCCCTGCAGTTGCCTGCCCCACTTCCCTGTCACTGACAACTCTGCTTGGCTCCCACTGCTTCAAACAGGCACTGGCCAGCAATTGGGCATCTTGGCAAATGGAATTTCTCCCAGGTGAATGCACCAGCGTGGTACAGAGCAGCACAGGGCCTGCAGGTCAGCTACAGCTGACCATCAGCCATGGAGCAAAGCACCCAAAAAAGTGCAGGGAGATATCCAGAACTAAGGTATCCAAAGAGCAGGACAGCAGCTTGCCTGCATCACCACACTGATCACCCAAAGAAACTGCCTGTAACAACGACAGATGAAAAAATATAAATGCCTAAATAGGATTTTTAATATCCTAATAGCCTAAATGGGATGTCAGGCATTTTTATAAATGCCTAAATGGGATGTCATGAGGGCATCCCTGTAAACAAACATCAACTAACCCCCTTTTCCCTTTCCTCTCCTAATATTTGGCATTCTGGGCTTAGTCTATACACATCTCTTTCCCTTTTCCCAGTCCCAGCTGCAATCTTTGTTGTTACTCTCATAAAGGTAAACAAAACTGAGGTCTCTGCTTATCTCCAGAGCTGTGCCCTTCAAGGCAGGGATTTATCACTTGCTCTCCAGATAAGTGTGATTCAAACCGTGATTTTCTAAGAAAGTTGCTGAATACTGATTTTCCCCATGGCACGTTCCCTGAGCCATGGCTCATCCATGCAAACAAGGAGTTCAGTAAACAAATGAGCTGTGAAATGATTGCATGTGAACGACATGGAGGTAATAAATGGTGCCGTGTCCTTGATCACACTGACAGTTCAGCCAGGGGGAAAGAAAAGGGAGAATTATTCTCACACTCTCAGCTATGGGGAATAAAGCGCCCTGCTGCATAAAAAGGCAATCAAACTTTTTGCCTCGTGGCTCTCACAATTACATGCAGAAGGGAAATATAGGATTTTCTGTGCTGCATGTAGAAATAACCTTTGATTACAGAATTGATCGGCAAAAAGAAGTGACAGGATTTCAATAGTTTAAAAAATCTATCATTAGAGCCGAATTTTCAACATTTTTCTCTCCCTCCTGCATTCTCACTTTGGCTTTTTCTGTATCCAGCAATGCCTCTCAGAGCTCCTTAATGCTCTGCATGAATTAAAACCTTTTATCTTAATGGGAATTCTAATCCTACCGGGACGCGCTCGCATAGCCGCGCTTATCATCCCACGACGGGAGTGGGGCTTTTTCCTGCTCAGGATTTCCTCTGATTCCTGCTCTGCAGCCCAGAAGTGAAGGCAGCAGAAGAGCTGCCTGCTGCTGTGGAAAAGCCACGGAGTGAATGAAAGCGCTGTGGCTGTTCCCTGCATTGGAGCAGAGAATTCCCGTGGGTTTCCAAGGTTGCGTCTTGGGTTGGCAGCACCTGCACGTGGAACCGGCGCCTCGCTGGATAACCCCACTGGCAGAGCTCGCTGACATTTTGCACCATTGTGAAATGAGACCCTGAAATGAGACTTTTTCGCCATGGTAACAGCCCTGTTGTTTCCCTCTGTTGACAGTGGAAGGCCTGAAAGTGGTGGAGATTGAGAAATGCAAGCGTGACATTAAAAAGATGAGGGAGGAAATGGCAGCAAGGAGCAGCAGGTAAGTTCTGCTTGGCACCTAACCACAGGATTGTCTGGTTTCAAACCCTAATGCAACATTTCCACAGAATTATCTCCTGGGCTTAGAAGTAAAAGAGCAAGGAAAACAATACCCATCAAGGACAGTGGCTTTAATTTACCATTTGAAGATTTATAGCCATTCACCAGTTAAATTAGTTTGGGCCATGAGAATACAGAAAAAGGTCTTGGGAGTTATTTGTCACCAAACAGAATGGGAATTCTTCATCCAGATTTACCGGGAGAGAGAGAGAATGGGAAAAGAACTGCACAGTGCAGCCTTTGGTTGGGAACCAGTTAGCACTCGAATCAGCTCCTATATATTCTGGGAAATTACCAAATAAATATGTAGCAGCTCCTCTAATTATCATCTCATGCTATTATAAATCATCCATTTCAAATTCAATGAGAAATTGGGAATTTACATTCTAATGCAAGGGCTCATTGTGATGGTGGAGCTCGGTTTTGCTGTAATTAAAACAGCAGCAGAAAAAATTGCATTTTGTACGGTGCGTGGTCTCAGCTGGAAAACACCCCCTGTGTCACTGAAGTGCCCCACTAGGATGAACAAATCACCACTGTGAGATTGGGAATACTCCTGGGAAGGTTGCTGGAGAGGAATATACCATGCTGCTCAAAATGTGGGTGAATGGGATTTTTCTCAGTGAACTGGGATTTTTCTCAGTGTTTTAACAGTCTTGGGGTCAAATTGTCTGACCCTTAATCAAAACTGTTTCCTACTGAGGGCAATGGGAAATGTGCTAAAAGATTCAGGCTTTACAATCTCTCGTTTTAATAAATGTTGTCATCCAGATATGTCAGGAGGCACAATGATAATTCATTCCCATGAAGTCCAAGGCCAAATTCAGCTGTCACATTAGCATAAACGCAGAGTAACATTATTAACCTCAGATGTGTGCCTCAGATTTATCCCAGCAGGGTGGAATGCAGTCTGCCCTGTCACTTGCATAATTTCTTTTTGGGGTGTCTGGAGAAATCTCATTAGAAAAATCCAAGCCCAGGTTGGCAGCAAATGCAAGAGCATGTGTGCTGCTTTGTGCTGGGTGTGATGTGAGAAACGTGTGTGCCCACGTGTCTTTCCTCAGCTGTGGCAGGGAGCTGGCAGAGCTGCACGGTGATGGTGATGAACAGTGATGCACATGTGGACAGGGAATTAGGTCCAAAAAAAGAAGTCATGGCAAGTTGGTGTTCGCTCAGTTGCCACCACACCACATCAGGAAGTACCAGACTGTCCCAGCAGCCATGACTAACTCCCATCCCAGTTCCTGTCTCCTTCCAATCTATATTTTGTGGCCTAAACAGCAACCTGTTAACAAGAAAAGCCGGAATGGGGGGGGTGTTCCATCTGCTCAGTGCAGGCAGCTCCAGCTGGGGTGTCACCTTCACCCAGGGCCCATGGTGAGATGTGACGGCTCCAGCACAGAGCAGCACGGGGTGGGAGGCTGGAAAGCTGTGGTGAAGATGGGACTGAGCTCAGCTGGGCACGGACACCCACCCTGGCTTGCTCTGAGCTCACACTCACAGCTGCTCCCGCTCTGCTCAGCATCCTCATGTTGGTGCTGTGTCCACATGGCTCTGTCACAGCTCCTCTTGGCTACCCTGAGCTGAATCTCCCTCCTCCCGGCTGCTCAAAGGCTCCTCCAGCTTGCACAGAATTCTGCCCGTGATTATCTGCACCCTGTGGGTGTGGGAGCCAGAGCAGCAGCAAGATGTGGGTACCAGACTGGGGAGATGATGCTCCTTTGTCGGAATCTGTGGTATTGATGATTCCGAGATTGTAGAAAGTCTCTGTCTTTCTGCCCCACTGCCAAAGAAGAAGCCATAATTCGTCTGTGCTGGTTTCAAGGTTGTTTATTCTGTTTATCTCTAACATGTTCTGCTGCCCTGCCGCAGCTCTGTCCTGCAGGGCAGCGTGTGGGGCTCTGCCCTCAGTGGGATGGTACAAACATTAAATACCACAAACTACCTGTGCTGGATTTACAATAACGTGCCAATATCTGTCACCTACGTTGGACAGTGTGTCCCCAGCCTAAACCAACAGAAAAATGCCAACACTACAGTGAAACATGGAGGGCATGAAGAAGGAGAAAAAGGACAAGACACACCCAATTTCCTCCATCTTGTCCCCTTTGAACCCCTAATCTAGAATCCTAAAATTTTACTTTTGCACCCGTGCCACACTTAATTATTACTCATATCAAACACTCAGAGCTTGTAATTCATCCTGTAAGATTGAAAACTCTTTTCCATGGACAGAGATCACAGACAGTGTCTCTGGGGGCTCTGTCCAGGGGGGTTCCTGACCCCTGCCAGGGTCCCAGACCTGCCAGGGCAGCCAGAGGGAAGCCCTGGATTCCCGCACTCCTTGGTGGCTCCCATCAGGAGCTGCTGAGGAATGAGCTGATGCTCCTTATTCCCAAGCCACCACAGCCCCACAGCAGCCAGGTCACCAGCCTGTGGTGACCCCAGCCATGGGGAGCTTCACCCCAGGGTGGCTGAGCAAAGCCTCTCCTGCTGGCATGAGATCTGTGTGGGAACAGAGGCATCCCAGGGAAGTGGAAATGTATTTGCTCTCATTTAGACCTGTCATCCCTTGTGCAGGGTCATTTGCTAGATAATGCACTGTGTTTTCAATTAGGGATCCCATCTAAATTTAATTCATGCACATAAATATTTGTGAGTGCCTGTGTTCCTTCACTAAGATCACAGTGTACACAGCTGTATGGGTGTTTACCTATTCTTATATTTGCTGTTACATTACTAAATGAGAGAGTAAGGCTGGGTAGCCAGGTTTATAAAAGCACAGTGAATTGTGCATCTCTCTGCTCAGAAGAGCAAAGCACCTCCATTTGCACATTTGCATCCTCCTCAAATTGCCTTTTTTTTTTTTTTTTTTTTTTTGCTTGTCTGTTTTTTGCACTCACCACTGGTAGATGCTAATAGCATCATGGTGTCATTTAAAATCATGATCATTTGCAGATCCAGTTTTACATTTGTGAAGGTCTGATGCATCCTGGCTCTGGTGTGTTCCCCAGTGTGCTGGGTTGAAGGCTTCAATATCCTACTACAGCTGGGAATTAGAGATAGCTGGCTGACCCTCAGCTAACCCTGGCAGTCAGCTCCAATTAGGGCAAGGAATGCCCCAATCTCACTATTTTTATCCTACTAATACCCCACACCGTGGAGTTTTGAGGAAACAGCTTTAGAAACTATTAAGACAGCTTTTCATCAAGGGAGAATCTCCTTTAACAGGGCAGGAAAAGGCAGCTGGTTGAAGTCAGCTGATCACCATGAGCTGTAAAATGACATAACTTTCACAGGATTCAGACACTGACACCAGAAATGACAGCAGACATCAATGTTAAGAGGAGAAAAGAGACCTGGTCTAATTTCCAACAGAGAAGAGAATCACTCAAAAGAGACACATTGCAAAATACAATAATCAAAAATGCAAAAAATGAGTTAATGGAATGCTGTGCTTGGCTTCTTTTGGGAGGTTTATTTTTGCTTCCTTTGGCAGGGGGCTTGAAAACTGAGAGGCTAATCCAAATGTTAGGACTCCAGGGATAAATCCCTGGAAGTGTTGAAGGCCAGATTGGACGGGGCCCTGAGCAGCCTGACCTAGTGAGCAGCATCTCTGCCCACGGCAGGGTGGGTGGAGCTGGGTGACTTTTAAGGTCCCTTCCAACCCAAACCATTCCATTACTCTATAAATGCAAAATGCAAGAGGAGCAGCCTCACACAGGAATTAATAAAGTCCATGTGAACAACCACCTCGGAAAAGCCCTGCAAGGCTTTTTGTGCTTGATGCCCACCTTGTCCCCAGCCCAGAGCACTGAGTGCCACCTCCAGGCCTTCCTTGGACACCTCCAGGGATGGAGACTCCAAACCTCCCTGGACAGCCCCTTCCAATGTTTGACCACCTTTTCAATGAAGGAATTCTCCCTGATGTCCAAGCTGTCCCTCCCCTGGCACAGTTTGAGGTAATTTGGGAGAAGAGCCCAACTCTCACCTGGCTGCAACCTCATCAGGGAATTGTAGAGAGAGATGAGGTCCCTCCTGGGCCTCTGCTCAGATGGGAAAGCATCAGCTTGGCTTTTCTATATGGAGAGGAAAGAAGAGTGTAAATAACTAGCAGTGTTAATAACCAGGCAAGTGTTAATTACCTGTAATTGCTGGCAGTGGATCCCTTTTCCAGGATCAGGGAGCCAAGAACAGGTGTCTGCCAAGTCTGTGCCTCTCTGAGGAGGTCCCACCATCAAAGTCGAAGTTCTCATGGGCTGCAGCAGGGCTCAGTGGGTGCCCTCAGCAGTGAATCAGCAGAGGAGTACCGTGTGGCCCCTGGCAGCCCTGTAGAAGGATGCCTGCCATGGACAGCAAGCTGAAGTCACTTGGTTTCAGGAGAAGTGGTTGGGTATCCATGGATACATGCCTGAACTCAGATGCTTCTCTCTTGAAATGCAAATAGACCAAGAAAGGGCAACAGGGGTGTTGCACAAGGGGAGGTGTCGGAATCTGTGGGTATTGGTGATTCCGAGATTGTAGAAAGTCTCTGTCTTTCTGCCCCACTGCCAAAGCAGAAGCCATAATTCGTCTGTGCTGGTTTCAAGGTTGTTTATTCTGTTTATCTCTAACATGTTCTGCTGCCCTGCCGCAGCTCTGTCCTGCAGGGCAGCGTGTGGGGCTCTGCCCTCAGTGGGATGTTACAAACATTAAATACCAGAAACTACCTGTGCTGGATTTACAATAACGTGCCAATATCTGTCACCTACGTTGGACAGTGTGTCCCCAGCCTGAACCAACAGAAAAAATGCCAACACTGCAGTGAAACATGGAGGGCATGAAGAAGGAGGAAAAGGACAAGACACGCCCAGTTTCCTCCATCTTGTCCCCTTTCAACCCCTAATCTAGTAATCTAAAATTTTACTTTTACACCCGTGTCACACTTAATTATTACTGATATCAAACACTCAGAGCTTGTAATTGATCCTGTAAGATTGAAAACTCCTCTCCATGGACAGAGATCACAGACAGTGTCTCTTGGGGCTCTGTACAGGGGGGTTCCTGACCCCTGCCAGGGTCCCAGACCTTCCAGGGCAGCCAGAGGGAAGCCCTGGATTCCCACAGGGAGGAAATCCTAAGGAGGATCACACTTTCAAAGGATTTTGAGCAACACTACATTAGAAAGGGAGAGGCTGTGGTGTGGGGTGGTTCTCTGCGGGGTGGCTACTGGGACACCAGAGCACTTGTGGCACTTTTTGAGGCACTGTGCTTCTGTTCCCTCAATTTTAAGAGATGAACATTTCATTTCAGGACTAACTGTCCCTGCAAGTACAGCTTTTTGGATGAAAACAAGAGGCCAGCTCCCCGGCGGGATGTGCCATCCTACCCAAAGGTACCACACAATCCTTGCTCTTCCCATATTCCTGCTGCATGGCTGCCACCCTGACAAGTGCTGCTTTACAATATTGACTCCTTAGCCATTCATTCCCTGTTATTCTAAATCCAAGGTCTGATCCAAAACTCCTGCGAGCCAATGGAAAAAGCCATCAATTGCCTGTGGTGACCTAAAGTTTAATTCTCAGTAGTCTTTAATACTTGAAAGCTCATTAGTGTTTGAAATGTTAATGAACATTGTGCATTCATCAACATTTAATGCTCTTTTGTCTAGTTATATTTGTTTATTTTCCGTGCTCATAGCAACAATCAAAAACACCCTGCAATGCTGTGTTCTGATTGAAAGTAGTGCTGCTGCTTATTTTCTCCTAATAGATTATTTTTTAATTTAAAAAGTAATTTATGGCAACGCTTCACCTAGGGAAACAGAAAATGCGACTTTGGATTCTCTCCAAAATGATTCATTGTCCCTGTGAAAATGAGTTAGTGTATTTGCTAGAGAAAACAGTAACGCTGGAAGAAAAATGTCTCCTGGGCAAGTACAAGTACAAATCAACAGTGATGAATGAGGCTGAAACCATGAAGAGCACAGGGTCTTGAATCCCAGAACCAGCAGTGTTTGCCCACCAGAATTGTTAAAAGCTGCCTGGTTATGCCTGCCCAGTGCCCAGCTCACACATTTGCAGATCATGGTTTAGCCATGAGCATCTCCTCACACACACCAAAGCTGGCCCAGCCACCCTGAATCCTCACAGTCCTGTGTGATGCAGGTCTGTGACGTGCACATTTGTCTTCAGAGCCCAGCAGAGCAGTAAATTCTGCTGCTTGTTCTGCTCTGCCTCGCTCAAGTGACCTCCACTGAAGCAGAGACGCTGGGACTTCTATTTCTTTTAGTTAACTTTTGCCCAGGAGGCTTGTGCTCCTGACAGTAACACATGATTTCACAGAGCACATCAGTTCTAAGCCATTTTTTCCCCCTTGATAAGTATATATGTCAGATTAAACTTTGATGGACTGCTGCATTAGGATCTTGAATCAAAAATAAAGGCTATGAAGAGTTGCACTGACCTACTGCAGGGTAAACTTTTGTATTTCTGCATTACTCCTAGACCAAAACTCATGGGAGTTTTGCAAATTTTGGAAATTTGCAAAATTTGTTATCAGTTGTCAGGTGCTGGATTTGTCCAATGTCGGTGAGGCTGAAGGAAGATGTCATTGCAACACCAAATCCATACTGCTAATTTGCAGTTTTCTTGCAGAAAGACACACTAAATGTTCATTGTATGTGCAAATGCAAAACTCCTTGCCTTTTGAAGAAGAAAAATTAATCTTCTGTGTTGTTCCTCCTTGGATTAAGTATCAATTTGATGGCTCAGAAATTGTCATTCACCTGCTCAGGAGAGTAAACCCAAACTAGAGACAGCCATGGTAAATGGGCCAATTGAAGCCACAAGGGGTTTGAGTCCCAAAACTCATATTCATCTATTCTGATGAACAGAATCCCGAAAAGATGAATTTGTAGAGTCCTGATATCCCCATGTCTTATAACCCTGCACATTCCTTTTCTTTTCATTTTCTATACAACCATAACTGGTGAACGAGCTTGATTTTGTTTTAGGCTTCTGAGCGTAATGATAAAAAATCACTTGAATCTTGCAGGCTGACAACCAATTTGAAACTGTGGGCACTCTTGAAAAAACACTTGAAATGGGAGCATAAATCATCTGAAAATAAACATATCATCCCCACCAGCTAATTTAGCACTGTAAGCAGAGACACTTCACACCACCCCTCCCTAACTGGCAGCTTCGAGTGCAGCTGATGCTCTGCAGGCAGCAGAACCACCACAACCAGGGATGGGTCTGTGTCCTGTGCCTGTGATTTTCTCTGCTGGATTTAGCCATGACCTTCTCCTTAACACCTCCACTCTCCCTTTTCTCCCAAGTTCTGCTCCACAAGGATCTGCCCCAACAAGCAGCTGCCAGCTGGTGGGAAGGGTGAGGAGGGTTGGGTGGCCAGAGGGAGAGATCATTTGCTGTCTCCTTGGGAAATGTGGCTAAATCCCTTGTGCATGGAGCCCTGGGAGCCCCAAGGACATGCCATCAGCATTCCCATGCCAGGGACACCTTTTTTACACCTCCTCCCTTTCTGTCTGCAGTACATGCTGTCCCAGGAGACCATCGAGGCTCTGCGGAAACCAACTTTTGACGTCTGGCTGTGGGAGCCCAACGAGGTGAGGATGCCACGTTGGCTGGGTTGGCACTTTCTGAGAGCCAATGGGGCCAGAAGAGCCCTTTGAGACAGTTTGCAGGGGTTTCCCCCTTTTCTGCACCTTACTCTGTATTTTTTTCTTTATTTCCATACCACACCCAAAATGCAGCGCTTCTTCCTAGCAGATGCCAGGTAGATTATGCTGCTTATCATATCCTGGCTCCTCTTTATTTGCTCTTTAATCTCTTCCCAGTAAAGTCCCTCAACTGGTGCACTGTCATTACTGCCACATGAGTTCTCCCATACCATTTTATCTGAACAAATCAATCCCCAGTGAAGTGTGTGCTTAAGCACATCATCAATAACTCCACTCAAATCAATAAAGCAGCAGGCAGAGGTGCAGGCATTGATTCACCCTCCTTCAGCTGAGGGTTTTTTCTGCAGCTTGTTCTGAAGAGGTTGCAAGGCTGCATTCAAAGCCAATTAACATCTCCTTATTGCTTACTTTTCTTCCTTTTTTTACTGCTATTAGTGTTATTCATGGTTCATCTGTAGAAGGTTCTGGAAGGTCTATGTGTAAACCTCTAGAAGCATGAAGGAGAAGGCTGTTAAGAGTAGATAGCTTATAATATAATGTAAAAGCAGATTTAGCAAATACTAGCAAATCTCACTCAAGAAAAACATAATGGAGGACAGGACTAAGCCAGAGGTTTAGTGCTGGTTTTTTTTTGCCAGGGGAAGGCTTGGGTAGTTCTGGCAGCACCCCCAGCAGCAATCACCCAAATTACCTTCTCAGAGTGATTCTGGCTCAGCACGACAAGGAAAAACACCCCATACCCCATCCCCAGGAGCAGCACATTCCCTTCAGTGTGAGTTTGCAGACCCCAAGTTGGGGCTCCCCTGGCAGGGGAGACCCTCCTGGAGCAGTTCTGTGTCAGGAACAAGAGACACATTGGACTTTTTAGGTCTTCAGCTTCTGTTTATTGTTATCTTATCAAAACTTCAGCACATTGTCTGCACCAGACTCTGTGTACAGGAAAAACAGCACAAAAGTGGCCAAAAATCTCTTGTTACAAGGCCTTTTAAGTCTAATCAAAAACTAAGCTGCCCAATTAAGAAGTGATACCTAGATTATTTCTCTTTCTAACCCAATAACTGACCCCTAAAGACCCTCAGTGAGGACTTTTCCACCCAATTACAAGATACCACCTAAACCCAAGAAGAAAGAAAGAGGAAGAAGAAGAATGGAACTCAAGGCAACACCCTATATCCTCCATCTTTGATCCATCTATAACATACTAAAAATCCAAAAACCTAAAATTTCTCACCCATGTGACATACTACACTGCTCTTTACAACCTCTACAATCTATTTCACACTTTTGTTGTTTCTGGTTTACCTTGAGGCTTTGGGAGTTTTCTTCATGAATGAGGTCAATGTCAGAGCTGCCCTGGGAGTCAGGACACCCCGGAGCAGACAGAGAAATATTCCCAGTGCCCTGGGTTCCCACACTTCAGGATATTTCCTGTGTCTGGAGGAACAACAGAAGGGCTCTCTGGTGGCTTTAGGTCCATCTCCCATTTGCTGGAGCTTCCCTTGTGTGGACAGAGGGGCTCTGCAGCCACTCCTCCATCCCTGTACCTCATTCAGAGGGCTAGGAAACATTATCAGGTGGCAAGAAGAAGGCAAGAAGAAGGAGGGTGTGGATATTCAACTTGCCTTGCAAGGAGGAGTCTGCTCAGAAATTAGATTTCCCACAAGCTGTGGTGAGCTGAGCACCATATGGGCTTATCTCACCCTCTTAGCTCTGCTTTATGTTTACAGAGAATATTTCAATTCTGTCAGAGCTTGTTTAGCAGTGAGTGTTTGCCCATGTGCTCACAGTGGGGCAGGCAGGTCATAAACCTCAGTCAGCTGTAAGCAAATGAATAATGTGCTCTGCTGCATCTCAGTAAACACAGCTTTGCAGCAAGCCTGGCTCCTCCTTCTCAAATGCCCTCTCACTTTTCAAGCCTTACAAAAGTCCCATATTCAAGCTTTTGCTGCTGACCAAGAAGGATAAATGTGAAAACTGAGATTCTCCTGTGTCCAGGGGCAGGGGTTTTGGGACTGAGAGTCGCCTCCTCACTCACCCAAAGCTCTCTTGGCAACAGCTGCACTGCTAAGGGCAATTCAGCACTTCTGGATAAAGTTTCTTGTCTTGGAAAGTCTTTTATGAAACTGTTACAAAACATATATTCTATCAGGACAAGGGGATTTTCAGCAAAATGCTGCCCATGTGATCTGAGCAGAATTCAGCTCATGGCATGATCCCTCAGGTCTAGCAGGAAAGTCCCTTCCTGTTTGGATTACTCAAAGTCAGCCCTGATGTTACTCCATGACTTATATTTATATTTCCCTGGATAAATATAAAGTTTCATTTGATTGAATAATTTTTTTTTTTCTGGTGAGTTTCTAAGAGCCTAAATAACAGAAAACGAATTAGAAATGCCTCCAGGGCAGTATTTGTGACATTATGCCCATCATGTTGAAACCCCTGGCTCACTTTACAGCCTAAAAACTGCAATTTCTAACACAATAGCCACATTCCATCCCCTGCAGATTTGGCCTTGAGAAGTGGGAATGAATATACACATAAACTCCTGAACTCCAGGAAAACTGTTCATTTCTGACTGATGGAAGCTGTTAAGCACCCAAACTCTTGATGTTATCAATATCTTTTGTTTTCAACTCTTTGAGATGATTGATGTCTTTTGTTTTCAATTCTTTCAAGCCCAGATGATTAAATATGAGGGGTGATGCTAAATTACCTGAATCCTCCTTGCTACTGCAGAGCAGATGTTGTCTCAAAAGAGCTGCCTGTGCTTGCATTTCAGCGATTGGGATTCACAGTTACAGTCTCCATGAGGGGATAATCACAAAACTGCTGCGATTTTGTAGGGTTATAATGGGAAATCTTTTAAACAAGAAATGTGAGGTAAGACAGTGGAGTTAGGAGCTCATAAAGAAAGAAGGTATTGGCAAATGTCTGAAATTAATGTTTCTTCAGGGATCTCTTATTTTCTGCTGTCATTTTCTATCCAGCTAGAGCCTGATCCATTTCTGTACAGCCTGGGAAAAGCTCCCACTGGTTTCACTGAGCAATAGGACACATCCCAGCTGAACTAGAAAAATGGCAGTGCCTTTTTTTTTTGAGCAGGAAATGCTGTGATACACACAAATCACAATTACTGGAGAGTGCTGGTGTGACATTCAAAGCCCTGCACAAAACCTGTGAAGTCAACAGCAGCGTGTCTGCTTCAAAAAGCTTTCAGACCTCTCTGTCTCCCCTCTTGCACTGTCTTTAATCCTGCAATCTTTGAACATCTTTCTTTCATCTAAAGAGGGCTCTGCAATGATTTGATACTTGCAAAGGGGAAATTCGCTTTACAGGGTGTCCTCAAGGGATATTTACAGCAATAACCTGCCTGTCCCTCCTGCAGATGCTGAGCTGTTTGGAGCACATGTACCACGACCTTGGGCTGGTAAAAGACTTCAACATCAATCCTATCACGTTGAAGAGGTGGCTGGTGAGTGTTTCAAGTTACTGATGTTTGCAATTTTTCACATTCAAAAATCAATAAACAAGGCATTTAGTCGTGGAATTAACATGACTGGCATGAGTAATCCCAATCAAAGCAGTCAATCTATACAAATTCTTAAAATTCAAGTACTTCAGAAAATTTTTGCATTCTTGTGGTCACAGATGACTCTTTTTAACTGTTTTGCATTAATTTGCTGAGGTTTCTGTTACTGAAAGCAGTTCATTTCTGCTGAATGCTCTTGAGACCTACTGTAAATGGAGGCAAGACAAGTGCCTTCAGATATAGTTAAAAAGTGCCAGTAAGTGCAATAATCATTCAGTGCAGTAAATCACAGGGAGCAGAGGAAAGAGCAAGTCAGGAAGGAAAAGGAATTGCTGAGAAAGTAACTTTCTTTGCTTCAGTCTTTGATGTGAGAGTGTTGCAGAGATGCAAAATGTGAGAAAGATGAGATCATACCAAAAATGGGACAGCTGAGGAAGAAACACTTTAATATTAAAAAAGCAATGAGTTTTCAGGTTGAAGGGAGAGCAAAAGAAAGCGTTTGCTAAAAAGCTGAAGAATATATTTCCTTTCTTAGAAAAAAACCCATCACGTTCCTAGAGAACCGTAGAACAGTAAATATTGTAACCATTGTTTAAAAAGCATCCAGGGATAGCCTGAGGAATTACAACTAGTAAAAACTTACCTCTGTGTCTCACAAATTGATTGAGACAATAATTAAAAACATCATGGTGTGAATTCATTGTACAGATGTTTCACAGGATTCCTGTACTAAAGACTTACACCTCATTAATCTCTTTCAATTCCCTGAGGAACTTGCAGAGAGTAGAGGGCATTGTTTCAGATGGATGTAGACTCCTAAAAAAATTCACAAAATCAGGAGGTAGCTGGGAAAGACAAAGAAAAGACTGGGTCCATCACATGTTCCAGCACAGCAATGGCAGGAGGCACATGGGGCTGTCACGTTGTGTCCTGCTGCAGGAGGCACAAGGCTGAGCCTGGAATAAGGGATGAAATGTCACCACAGAAGGCAGGAGGCTCACCTGAAATTTATTCCCAGCACTGGTGAAGCTTCTTTGCAAAAATAATATGACTGCATTAAAGGAGACACCAAAAATGTTCAAATTCTGGTAAATCTCTCTCTCTGAAGAAGGCAAATGAAAAACTGGGTGGTGTTGACCTTATAAAGCAGCTGAAGACAAGGGGTGGGATGAAACCCAACACAAACAAGGGTAACACAGAGTAGATAAACCAAAAGATCTCCTCCTCCTGTTTCACAGCCCAAAAACATGGGAAGCAAGGTGATATGTCAACACACACCAACAGCCCACCTACACACACTGCTGCAGGCAGCTTCCCCAGCTCCTGTCTCCAAGCAATTTGTCACCACTAACATTTAAGACAGCCTCACTCTAGCAACAAAAGAGGAGTTTGTTGAGTATTTTCTACAAAAGGAAGGCAGGGTGAGGTCTATCGTCTCGAAGAAATAAATTATTTTTAAAAGCCTCAAGGGCTCTGCTCCAAAGTGGGATACTTCCCCAGGCACAGTATGGGCATCACTTTGAACTCAAGTGGGAGAGAAAAAGCCACCTCATGCTTATCCCACATCCACTGGCTACAGAAATCTTCCAGAAAGAGGAGGAAAAGTGATTAATGCAACGCAGTCACTCCATCCCTCCTGAGTCAGAAGTCCCCTGGATGCTCTGGGCTCCAGTGCTGGATGTGTGCATTACATCCATGCAGTTTTGTGCAGTGCCACAGGTGTCCTTGTGAGATACCACCTGTGAGCCTGGCTGACAACCATATCATGCCGTTCCTAAGTCATTTTAAAACAATGAAGTGTGTTTCTAAAATCCTTGCTGCAGAATACTCTGTGAGGCTTTTGCAATGAAACCCACAAATACTGAATAAGCATTGAAATACCACACTTCTCTTGACCTCATCCAGAGCTATGAGGTTTCCTAGAAGTCAGGTGATGAGTTAATGTGTTTGATCCCAATGGGTGTGAGGGCTCCTGAAGTAAATTCCTGATTGAGCTGGAGAAGAGGACAGGAATTCTGTCCATGTCATTAATTCTGTCCATGTAATTAATTCAGTAACTGAAGCATGAGGGCTCTCTGGGGTCCAGGCTTTGGAGGAGGATTCAGCAGAGGGGTCCAGAAGTGCTGCTGACTCTTGGCTGCTTTGTGAGGGACAGGAAACCAGAGGAGCATTGGAATAATGACCGTGGCACGTGTCAACCCAGCTGTGCCAGCCTCCCTCTGCCAGCCTGGCTGGCACTAGCCAAGACACAGGGACAGACAGGCTCTATCCTGCCTCTGGAATGAAGGCAACCAAGCCAGGATCTGCAGGGAGTTAATCCACACACAACAATGGCTCCTGTGAGCCCAGAACAGCTCAGTCTCTCCCAGGCTGACTGGAGTAGAAAACCCACCCAGGTGTGCTCCAGCCTGGTGTGCATTCACATCTTCTCTTTGCCAAGCAACACATCCCAAAGTGCCGCCTCTGAGCACTGGCAAATGAAATTACAGCCACATTTCAGCCCTCAAGGTATCAGAGCTGCAGTTTGAATTCAGCAGGAGAGGGGGCTGGGGTGGGCTCTGAGCCCTTTACAGTCCCCATTTAGCCACTGCAAGGTTTGAAATACAAATTCAGGATGAGAGCAAAGTGTCCTCTCTTAAGGACTGAGATGCAGCTGTGCTGGGATGTTTGCCCATTGCTGGCTGGTGTGAGGGGGGATTTTCTGTGAGTTTTACCTGCTGGTGAATTCTTGAAACACACAAATGTGAAATTTTCACTCTTCTGTGAAAATTTAAAAGTTTAATAAAGAACAATAGGAGACAAGGACCATAGAGCAAAGGTTGTTACAGGTGCCTCGTGGCACTCACACTATTGTCTTCGGGGACAACCCTTAAATACCTTTTCCTTTACATCAGCCTGTTGCATATTCATAGCCCCTTATGCATAGTAAACTTTCCCCAAACCAGTTTACATGTCTAAGAACTGTTTAGCATATCTGCTCCTTGGATCTGCCTTTTTAGAGCATGCAGATTCCTTGGCTGTGTTGTAGTCCACTTTTATCATAACCTTCAGTTCTGGGCCTTGTTCCACACTGTCTTCAGACAGTGAGTGATAATAGTTGGCAGATCTGTAGCAGGGTCCTCATCCTTTGTTCACTGGATGTTATTGCATCCAAGCAGGAATTTGAACACAAACATACTTATATCAGCTATTTCACTACTATGTCTAAGCTTAATTAACAATAACTACTAACTATACTAACTAACTATAAAACTAACTATATACTAACTATATAAACTAACTATATACTAACTATATACTAACAATATAAACTAACTATATACTAACTATACTAACAATAAAAACTATATATTTGTATCTAAGTTACTTTAACACCACACATGTAAAATCCATTTTAATATTTGCAAAAAGCCAATATTATAGTATGTATCTATAACACAAATCTCACCCAGGAATGCAGAAAGTGTCAGAGGCCCTGTGCTGTCACTCTGTCCTAGCAGAGAATGATCCTGAGCCCTGTAGGACTCCTTTTAGGATTTACAGTGCTTGGTGAACAGCTGTGCCTGTTCTGACAGCCCCATTCCCTCTCTCTGCAGCTGTGCATCCACGACAACTACAGGAACAACCCCTTCCACAATTTCCGGCACTGCTTCTGCGTCACGCAGATGATGTACAGCATGATCTCGCTCTGCAGCCTCCAGGTACGACCCCATCTCCGTGGCACCACCCCAATTCCACCCTGAAACCTCAGCCACTTCTCTTGCAAAACGGGCCACCAGCCTGCTGGCAAGTGATGGCCTTTGGGGAGGCTGCACTGGCTCAGTCCTCAGGTGTGGGGAATGGATTTGTAGGGAATTCTCAAAGCCTGGCAGAAGGCTCACGCAGTGTGTGCATCCCTGTGCAAACCTTGAGATAAGAAATGCTGGCTCAAAAATGCCATGGAATAGTGTTGGAATTCAAAATGTCCCTCAGACATTTTTGGATGTTCCGGGCCCAGGTCAGAAGCATTTGAGACCCTGGCAGGCAGCTGGAAACAGCTGTGATTTTGGGTTTGAACCATGGAACGATTTACCAACCTTGCAGGAAGGACAAGAAGTCATAAAAGTTTAGATTTTATAATAGAAGTAGTTATAAAGTAGAGGGAAGATTTTTTTAGTGTTACACAGGGGGGTTTTAACACCTGTACAGGGGGTTTTTACTTTGTACATGGGGGTCAGAGGTTTTAAGATGGAGGGATTTTTGGCTGGTCCTGCCCTCTGTCTTTCTTCTTCCTTCCCTCCATGTTCTTGGTGATGTTGGCACTCACAGATTGGTTTAGAGTAGAAAAGCACCATTTAATATAGGCAATAGGCATTGGGGAAAAACTGTAACCATGTAACACGTAATGTACCATATAAAAGATAGAAAAGCACCATTTAATATAGGTAATAGGCATTGGGGAAAAACTGTACCCATGTAACACGGAATGTACCATATAAAAGCCAGCAGCAGCCCTGGGCGGGGAGAGAAGAAGCAGTCGGGAGTCAGAGAGGGTGTCAGGGGGTGTGTGTGTGCCTCTGCCTGAGCTGTCAGCAAACCACAGCAGCCCCAGAAGAAAATCTTTTAGATAACTTGCAATAAACTGCCTTGAGACCGGACAACAGAGACTGCTGAGCCTTTCTTTGGAAGCACGGGCTGGAGGAGAGATTTTTTTCACCACACGGAACCCCTGAACCAGGCCTGGGTTCCGTCAGAATAGGACAGATAGTGGTGAGAGAGAAATGGAGCTAGAAACAAGTTTCAAAGGATGGCCTCTGGATACTTCAGAGAAATAGAACTATGAAAGCTGCATTGTATTAAGACCCACGATGAGTAATTTTAGATGATTAGCTTTAAGGCATTTACAGTATTAATTACATATTATTTAAGGTATAGCATAGCAAAGACTAATAGGCCAAGTAGTACTAATAGTGTATTATAACTAAGAAATAGCTGACTTCTGATTGTGATGGTGTGAATTACAACATCTCACATCTCATTGTCCCACCCTTCATATGAAACTGAAAATGGAATAAAAGGTTTTTAAACACCTCTCAGTTACCCCATATCTAGATCAGAAAAAAACTTAATCTGACACCTGGGCACGCAAGGAGAGGTGTTGCATTTCCACCCCCAGCACCTGCACAGCTTTCTGAGGCTGCTGGGGAGGTAACTTCACCTCCTGGATGTTCACAGTTGGTACTGGAGTGAAACATTTACGAGTGACAGCCAAACCCCTACTCAGTTATGGTCTGTGAGTGTATTCTTTGTTTGGGACACAAAAATGTTCCTACAAGAGGTTTTCTCCAAATGTGTGCTTTTACCTGTGCTTGTCCTGTAGCCTGGCATGTATTGTATGCAGGACACACATTTGACCTTTATTTTGTCCAAAACCATAGGCATCAATTAATTTCACTGTCTGGATAACCTGTACTCATATATTCATTTCATTTCTTTACAAAACTGGGTTTTTTTTCACTTAAAAAAAAACCCCTTTTTTATCCATAGTTAACTTATCAGTTGCTAGCTTAATTCTGTTTTCTTGCCAGTAGCAGTATGAAGAAAAATTTGCTTTAATGTAAGTCCATGCTATTCAAAAGCTGTGGGAACACAACATTTAATTTTTCTTGCTCTTTTCCTAACTTTAGTTAATGCAGAATGCAGTGGCAACAGAGATATCTTCCAGCCCTCCCTTTACCTAATCAGGGTGCTCAAATGACTCGTGAGAGACTGTACTAATGTCTCAGTGCTCTTATATCATCTCTGCAGTAATAGCAAGTTTCAAGGAAATTGCCTCCTCTGAGCTGCTGTTATTTAATGCAACAAAGGCAAATCTGAGTCATTTTTACTGGAAGGGAAGGCAGATTTCTCTTTCTTGACTGAAGTAAATTCATCTAAGGAAAAATGCTTAATTTTGTTCAGATTTGCATTTCTCTAAAAAGTAAATATGTCTGGTTTCTTTATTTCTTTTAATTTACAAGGATAGGGGAAGTAGAAATCATACTACTACGTTCATGTTTTGTATTTTACAGGAGAAATTTTCCCAAATTGACATTTTGATTCTCATGACTGCAGCAGTGTGCCATGACTTGGACCATCCAGGCTATAACAATACGTGAGTCTGTTCTTTTGCTTTCTCTTCCCTTAAAATCTCTTGGGAAGGTAACACTCGTTGGCATTTTTTGGTAGATCAAGTTTTCCTTTTCTGACCTTTTCCCAAGGCCCTGGGTCAAAGCAGAGCTCAGGTCTGGGCTGGGGTTTGCCAACCAGGCCTTGGTTCTGTAGGGAAAATGTTTTTTTTTTTCAGATTTCTATTCAAACCCTTTCCCCCCTAACTCCTGAAAAAATAAGGTGAAATACTTTACAGCTGGTAACAGAGCTATAAATTATTATAATGGAATAATTACACTAAAATTCAAAGGGGGATTTAGCTTACACTTTATTCCATAATTATAAATCATGAAGTGTACTTTACTCTGTTTATTTTCATGTCAGGAAATTATTGCTGTTGATCCACAGACACTTTTGTGTGATATGAAAGAGAGAGAATCTGATTTATTTGTAACCACTCATTAAATAAGGGAAGAGCCCAGTTCTGACTGGAATAGTGAGAATCTCTGTTTTTGATATTAGCAGGGGTTGAATTAAACCCAAACAGTTCCTTCTGGTTTTGTTCTACATCATTTTAAACTAGAAATGTGGTAAAATTTAGAGAAGAATAAAAAAAAAACCTTTTGGGCGAATGTTCACCCACTGAGGGGAATCAACACCTGCGATTATATTCAATATCTATTTACTGTGAAAATCTGATTTAATACCAACAAACAAAAAAAAAAAAAACCCAAAGCTGCAGCTAATTGAATAAGCATTGAAAAGAATGCAAGCAGGAGGTTTGGAGCAGCTGGTGGGTGTCTGAGGAGTTTTTTCCTCACGGCTTTCCCTGCCCTCAGCTACCAGATCAACGCGCGGACGGAGCTGGCCGTGCGCTACAACGACATCTCCCCGCTGGAGAACCACCACTGCGCCGTGGCCTTCCAGATCATCTCCCAGCCAGAATTCAACATTTTCTCCAACGTGGACCAGGACCAGTTCAAGCAGATAAGACAGGTAGGAGGAATGCTGCTCCTGCACGCGCGGTTCCTGAGGTTGTAAACGCGCACGGACTTCCCTGCTCCACCATGAGAGTGATTCATCCTCCCTGGAGGGCAGGGCTGAAAAAGCCCCTAAAACTGGGAGGGTCCAAGAGGGATTCTTGGAAAATTTCCACAGCAGCCCTCCCTGGAATGGGTTGCTGAGGAATAATGAGTACATCATGGCTATTAAAGCCGATGACATTTTGGGGGTAGATGTTTATATTGTTGGAGCAGCCAATTAGCACTGAGTGGGGAAGGATTAAGCTCTCAGGGCAGAAGTTTGTGCTTTACAGGAACACTGTATTAATTTTAAGAGGGGCTTCAAAAGGGGAAAAGAAGTTGCAACAGCAGAGCACTTGTACTGTTGGAAGAGGCCCTGGTGCACTGGGAGTCGTCACAGTTATCTATGAGGCACTGAACAATGTTAAAATTCCCATCAGGGCTCTAAGGACCAAAATTCAGTCTTAATTTCCACATTACACCTTCCTTACACACCGAGTGAAGAAGCAGTTTAAGGGCTGGTGGGAGTTCCTGATTCTGCCAGTGTGTGGGAAACTGGCACGGGCCCAAAAGGGACTGTTCTGTATGAAAACCCACAACTTTAAATTAACCATATGTTTTCCCATCATAAACTCTGCACAGAAGGAGGATACAGAGCTCCTTGTCCTCATCCAAGTGTTTCAAGGCCCTTAATCCAAAGAGAATGGACACAGCTGGCATCCCCATCATGATTTTGTCTCAGGGCCACTAAGAGTCAGCAGCAAAACCCACAGTGCCTTCCAAGGAGAGGAAAGTGGATCTTGGCAGCCAGAGCATGGCTTTTAGCATCCTGTTGTACAGTTTGCTTTTCTACAATTAGTCAATGAGAAAGGAAAAACCTCAGTGTCTTGGGAATATCACATAAAACCATGATCCTCATGTACCACGAACTCTTTATAACCCTCTTCCAATTTCCTTGGCAGTTCCAAGTCAGAAACTTCCCCTTCCAGCATGAGCAATTCGGTGCATCTGAGGCATTTTGTGTGCAAGACAGACCCTACTTGGCTTTGCAATAGCAGACCTTGTAAGGAATGTCAAGTTAATATGTGAACATGTTTTCTTTGCTAGGGGATAATTACATTAATCCTGGCTACAGACATGGCGAGACATGCAGAAATACTGGACTCTTTCAAGGAAAAAATGGAAAACTTTGATTATACAAATGAAGACCATATGACCTGTGTAAGGAGGTTTTGTGGATTGTTATTTTTCTGTGCATTGAGTGAAAGCTCGTTTGTTGAAAAATCAAGATTCAATATATGTTATCAAAAAATAATCCCTCCTACATTTTCTGCCCCAGCAAAAAATAATTACAATTTGGAAGTGCTCTATGTTAAATAGATTTTTCCAGCTTTAGAAATCCAATCAGGAGTCCCATCAGGAGAATAAAAGATTTTATTCTATTAGGCCACAAATTCTTATCATCTTTTACTGTGGGGCAAGAAAAATCCATAAGAATAAAACCTCTTGTCTCCTCTATTCCCCAATGCAGTTGTATTTGATTTCCAGGGAAATCTTTTCCCAGCTGCCTCTAAGTGCTCCACAAAAAACTTAATGGTCACTTGTGACTGAATCTCCTCATGCAACAGATAAATGCACATCCCACACATCCCAGGGCTGCAGAGGGGAGAAGCAAGGCAGAGAGGGGAAAAGTGATTTACACAGCGCAGCTGCGAGAGGGAAAAGGGATCCAGATAATTTAAGACTTCTGGTTAAATCCTGAAGTTGTCCGTTCTGGTTGAAAGCATTGCAGGGACAGGGGTTGTGGAAAGGGGGAAAAGGGCTGGCTTTAGGACTGCAATTGAAGTGTTCTCCTCTTTCAGCTGAAGATGGTGCTGATAAAATGCTGTGATATCTCCAACGAAGTCCGCCCGATGGAGGTAGCAGAGCCCTGGGTAGATTGCTTACTGGAGGAGTATTTTATGCAGGTAAGAGTGAGGGAGAGATGCAAGTGCACAATTTCACTATTTTCTGCTATTTCCAAATCCCACAGGTGCTTCACTGTCTGACAGCCCAGTCTGGTTCTAACTCTGGTTTAGTGGAAGTTACCCTGCCCATGGCAGGGGGTTGGAACTGGGTGATCTTTAAGATCCTTCCAACCCAAACCATTCTATGATTCCACAGAAAGCTTCTTTTACAAAAAGTCAGAGAAGGATGCCTGCAAAAGAACCTGCTCAGTAAGCAAGTGGATGCAACTGATTTTCTCTTTTAATCATTAGTAAAGAATGAGATACCATTTCTGTCTGAATACCTGAAAATAATCACTCTCTGGAGAACAATGAGGAAATCACAGAACTATTCCTTCTCTTTCAGAGCAGCAGGGCCATTACCAGCTTTCTAGATCCTCTGAAATACTTCACCTCACAAGTCCAGTGGGTTTGCAAAGGGAGTCAGCCGCCCTGCAAGGCTGGAGGTGGACACTTTGATGCTGCTGCTGAGCAGAAATAACTGAACAGAATTCTCTTTATTCAGACGTTGCTCTCCACAAAGCAGAGAGATTGGCCTGAGGGAAGCACATCACTATTCTGTGCTATCTGCAGCCACCTCTGTGATCTGCATCTGAGGGCTGCTCATCTGCTTGGTGCATCACTCTCCTCGCAGCCTCCAAGACAGGATTAATATTTGTTATCACTCGTTTTGTTATCTCCCGGTTGTTTCTCTGGTTGTTCCAGAGCGACCGAGAAAAATCCGAGGGGCTCCCGGTGGCGCCGTTCATGGACCGCGACAAAGTGACCAAACCCACGGCACAGATCGGATTCCTCAAGTTCGTGCTCATCCCCATGTTCGAAACAGTGACAAAGGTAAAGTCACCCTCACCCAGGGGCAGGAACCAGCGAGGGGGAGAGCAGAGCTTCCCTCTGGTGCTGGTCCCACCAGGTTCTTGGTTATCCAGGGAAATGGGGATGTACCTTCCTGTGGTATTCACACTGAACAGAGAGACTCCTGAGAGATTTCTCCTGTGGGAAGCAGAGAAAAGAGAATCAAAACAATTCTTATCTCATTCCCTGCTCCTTGTCTGTACCCATGTGGAATGTGTTCTGGAGATTGTTTACCCAAGGTGATGGCTCAATTGGATTCTGGTGATGGTTGTTTGGATTCATTGACCAATTGGATCCACAGCTATGTCGGGACTCTCAGGAGACAGTCACAGGTTTTCTAGTTAGTTAGTTAGGGATAGTTTTTGCTTGTGTAATGTAGTTACAGTATAATATAGTTTAATAAAGTAATTACTTAGCCTTCTGAAATCATTGGAGTTCAGACATCATTCTTCCCTCATCAGGGATCCCAGCACCGATACCTTCCACGCCCCGTTTTCAGCATGTACAGTCAAAAAATGCAGCAAGTTGAGGAATGCAAAAGGAAATGCTGATAGTCTTTGTCTTGTTTCCACCTAGCTGTTCCCAGAAGTGGAGGAGGTGATGCTCCAGCCTCTGTGGGAATCCAGGGACCACTACGAGGGGTTAAAACAGATAGATGATGCTATGAAAGAGGTAAACTCCAATTAACTCCTTGATACAGCAAACATTATAATTTATTAAGCCAAACATTATAATTAAGTAGCAGCTTAATTCTGAAACAGTGGGAATGCTTGTGGTGTAATTATTATCCTGAGAAACTCATTCATTACACCTGCCTGGAGAGAGGTATGTGCCACAAGCAGTAAAAACATGTCCTTGCAGACTCCACCAGGAACCACATAAGTATGGGCACAGGACAGGAGCTGCTTGCAAGGCACAGACCCCAGGAATAACCCCCTGAAGGGAGCACACACTTCTCCCTGGAGGGATCTGCCCTCCCTTGGGAAGGAGTTTGCCTGGCTCACACTGCAGCAAAACGTTCTGGGGTTGGGCAGTTCAAGGCTCTGCATCACCAGTGCATGAGTTTACTTTCTGGGAAGGAATTTCCAGTCACCTGTGTGTCATCAAGATGTGCTTGGCATTTTATGAGGAATCACTCTGTCATGCAAAGCACCCAGGAGGATGGAATGCATAACCAGTGAAGCCCTTTAATTGTCCATTGGGGACTTTAATGAACAGAGCATCTCTCATTTTGTAAGGCTCAGGGTAGGTGGGGGTTCCAGGTAACCACATTTGCTGTCACACAGCAGGTCTGCATTGCCTCAGGAGCCTGGCAGGGCAAGGACCAGTGCCCAGGGCAGCAGTCAGAGTGCTGGTCCAGCTCCCTGCAGCCTGTGACAATGGCCCTGCAACTCCTTTCTTGCACACCTCTTCCAGTGCCTCCTCTCCCTGCCAAGATCCACGACAAAACCTGCCCTAATGGCATCACAGAGAAGGGAGTTTCTGACATGAAAAAATTCATCATGTAGGCAGGGTGCTGTCAGCCACTCCATCATTAAAATAACTTGGGAAGTGCCCTGGAGCACCAGTTGTGCTGATACTGTTTGATATGTGGGTAATGAAGGCTCCTCCATGTGATCATCCATGAGTGGAACAGTAGCTTTGCTGTAGCTCCCATCTCCTCCCAAGTGCTTTGGAGAAAAAGCCCTTCAGCAGTTGAAGTACTGAGGCTTGTTGATCAAAGAGCACAGGCTCTGGGGGCACTAAATTTTAAAGGAGAACAAAGACTTTTAGGCATTTTTCCATTCAGACAGGAGCATTTTTCAAACGAGGGCAAAATAACTCAAATACGACTGCCAGATTTTCTGAGCTTTATTCATCTTTTGAGTTGAGATTTTACTTCTGGTTTATAGAAGCTGTCAAAACAGCATTTTTATACAAACGAATGGGGTTTTAATTAGAGTGTACTGGCACAAGAGGTCTTAAAAAATAGGAGCTGCTTGGATTCAGAAATATTCTGAAACAAGAGGATTTAATTAATAATCTGAGATCCTAGTACAATAGCTGATGAGAAAGACTGAGTTCTGTTTACCCAGGACGTTCATCCAGAGCTGTTTGGATGAAACAATGCCTGTGATATTCCAATCTGCTGCCTATTATTTCCCAGGAAATGTTGCACATGCCTTGTGGAGAGCTGAGCGTGGGACTCACAGCAGCACCGTGAGTGTGAGTCAGGGGGGATTAATCCTGCTCTGCTCTTCATTCCAGCTGCAGAAACAGAAAAGTGACGTTTTGACCACCGGCAGTAACGAAAAGTGAGAGGAAACAGCCTTTGAACAAATCAACCACGAGCCTTGAGGCTCCTCTGGTTTGAGAAATGCTGTATTAGCCAAGCAGAGGTGGTGGCTACGTCAAAATCCAAGTGGGACCATGCAGGGAGAGATGGATCCACAGCCTGCAGCCTCCTCACAGAGGTGCTGCTGCCATCGGACAACGCCTGCTCCCCAGGCTCCAGCATTCCCACCACAGCCTCCTGGCAGGATTCCCCAGGCTCCTGAATTCCCACCACAGCCTCCTGGCAGGATTCCCCAGGCTCCTGAATTCCCACCACAGCCTCCTGGCAGGATTCCCCAGGCTCCTGAATTCCCACCACAGCCTCCTGGCAGGATTCCCCAGGCTCCAGCATTCCCACCACAGCCTCCTGGCAGGATTCCCCAGGCTCCAGCATTCCCACCACAGCCTCCTGGCAGGATTTCCCAGGCTCCTGAATTCTGAATTCTCATCACAGCCTCCTGGAAGGATCCCCCAGGCTCCTGAACTCCCACCACAGCCTCCTGGAAGGATCCCCCAGGCTCCTGAATTCCCTCCACAGCCTCCTGGCAGGATTCCCCAGGCTCCTGAATTCTGAATTCTCACCACAGCCTCCTGGCAGGATTCTCCCTGCAGGCACTGCTCAGGCTGCAGCACAGCTCCAACCTTCAGCAGATCTGCCTTTTGGGTGACCCAGCTGCCTGCAGCCTGTAGAGACAAATCAGAGCTTAGCTAAGGAGCCTTTTTCTGGGAAATGATGCCCTGGCACCTGGGATTGTTTTAGTTGAGATACTCTCTATATGTGTACAGCAGTATATGCTAGTTACAGCAGAGCTCACTAGATGCTTATACACTGACAAGGGTCCAGGCATACATTTTTGTTTGCCTGGTAGGCCCTAATGATACATTTCTCCTCATTATTCTCTGAATTTTATAGTGTTCACAGTACATTCAGAAGCCCAGCATAGTGGATGCAATTTCCTTTTTTTTTTTTTTTTTTTCTACACTAGAAGAAATCAGAAGAAACCTTAGTGAGTTTGCAGGGTTGCTTTGTGGCCTGGTACAGCTGGACACCATGGGATCCTTCAGCATGAGCAAAGAAGGGAGCACAAAGCTGAAAAAACCATGGTGCAAACACATTTTTATCCTTGTTGATGCAAAAAAAAAAAAAAAAAAAAAAAAACCCAAAAAAAACCAACAAGAGACAACTTCAAAGATGTACAGATTTTTTTTTTTTTTTAACTTTTAAACCGATCTGCTAAATAATATATTCTTCTACAGAAATGGGTGTTATTGTTTCATTTTGTGTATGTGTTCACATGAGAACAGTGCATGTTCCTGAAGACCAATGCTCCCATAATGAGTACAAGGGATGGGGCTCTACAGGAGAGGAGAGGGATGGTTTCTCCTTGGAGGAGAAACCTGAGGATTACTCCTGTGGTCCATCATGGAAAGCTGCAGTTCCATGGATGGTTCAGTGATGGTTGGGAGCCCAGCTCTGCCCGGGTGGGATTGATTCCTGTGCACCACCTGCCCAAAGGGAAGGCTGCAATAAATGCCCCACGAGAATCCAGCCACAGCCACGCTGCTCACCTGCTTTCTCCCAGCTGGGAAAGGCTGTCCTTGCTGAGGGTTCAGGCCCTGCCATGGTGTGGCTGCTGGGAGCAGGGATGCCATGCTGTGCATCTCCCACATTGGCAATCGCAGGCGTGGACATTGCTGGGGTTCCCCTGGGCTCCCCAGCTCTGCAAAGAGGGATGAGCAGGAGGGGAACAGCCTTTCCCTTTCCCATGGCCCAGGAAACACTTCAGCCTCTCTGGCAGGTCTCTGGTACCAGCTCTGAACAGCAAATCTTGCCTCCTGCCCTGGAAATTCAGGCAGTTCTCCTGTTGTTTCTGCAGTTAATCCTGAGTTTAACTCTCCCTTCTCCCCCAGTGCCATCACTTTCATCAGCACACAATCTGTGTTATTTCATTAGCACACAAACTATGTTATTTCAGTTACTCTCCAATCTCTCAGGGAGATCCAAATTACCCCGAAACTTCCATCCCTCTACTCTGTTCCTACCTGGAAGTTTCCAGAGATCCAGGACAGACTCACAGCTGGTTCTGTCTGCTGGTGACTCCTCCTTTAAACAGCTTTTTCTGTGTGGTTTTGGGCTTTCTGCTGCAAACTGGAAAGGGCTCTGATCCTGGGATTTGAACAGATCCTAAGGGAAATGGAAAGATCCAAGCACAGGATCAGCTCCAACTCACACAGACATCTTCATGAATGAACTACACCCTAGTTTTGATTAACCTCAAACTTCTGATGCTGGAAGGTCGAATCTGAATTATGTGGTTTGTGCCCTTTTCCCTTCCTAAATCTTATAATCCAAAGTACGTTCCCGGGTTGTTCCTCTGTGGAATTCTTCACGACTTTTGCACAAGTAAATCGAATTTGCCATCTCCGTTCAAGCGGATTTCCGTCACAAATCAGCTCCCAGAGCAGATGAGCTGTGCAGGAGCCATGAACAATTGCTTAGGCCTTGCCAGCTCCTGCACTGAGCCACTCACACCAGATGAGAAAACCTCCTGTGCAAGCTTGACTGCTCCCTCCTCCCACTAAAACTTCCTAAGAGTTAGATCCTTATGGGAGGTTTCATTTCAGCTGGAAGGGTTTTCTCTAACCACAAAGCCTGATCCAGCAAGGATTTATCCATGTGCTTGGCTTCCACCAAGCCATGGACCCTGGCACAAAGGAGATTCTTGCACAGTGCAGGCTCCTTGGCTTTCTCTGACCGAAGGATTTTGGGGAATTGATGGTTTGTTTTGGCCTCCACTGTTTTTAGGAGCAACCAAAAAAAAAAAAAAACTGTTTACTGGAGAGAGATGGACAAAAGGCATTGATGAAATCCTGCTGAATATTTTGGAGCTGCATCAGAAATGTGGAAAAAGGGAATGCAACCCATTCTCGGGGCTGCAGTAGTGACTGTGGTGATGCTGAAATGTGCTGTGAGGGTTATTGAAAGAACAGGCAACACCCAGGCTGCTTTCATAGACAGCTGTAAAATTAAAAAAAAACCAAACCATGCAATCACAAGCAGCTGATAGTATAAATGGGAATACCACAGTATTTTTTTAATCTCATTTGTCTTTGTAATATTAGATTTCTACGAGACAGTCCTCCTGAGATATGTTTAACCAAGGGAAATGCAAGGCATTCTCTTGTAATTCTAGTTTCTTATGCTTTTCCCACAATATTTAACATTGTGATTCATATGCTAATTAAAGGATTTGAGAAACTCAGGCAATCAGCCCGTTAAAATGTCACACATTTTCAAGGTGACATTTTAAAACCAGACTTAGCATGAGAATGAAGTTTTTTGAGGCGGGAAGACAGATGTCTCCAGTGTGATTTAATCTTTTCTCCCCCATTCCAATGACTAAGAGTGGGTATTGTGTCTCAGTGTTGTTTCTGTTTGCAGTAGGTGTCTTACAGAGAATTTTCTATGTTGCAGCTTTCAGCATCATGACAGTGCCAGATGCACCCCAGCCTTGCATTGCTGTCCTAGACTTGTGATCAAAGCTGAACATGAAATGGGTTATAACAATTCCACACCATTTAGCCTGGGAAACTAATGATGAGCTCTGGGATTTTACTCTTTTTTTTTAAGCTGTGAGATCCCACAGCCCATTACTCTGTGTTTTAGTATGGTTTGACAATCAGATCAAACTGAGGCTGCATGTCTTGGGAGGGAAAACAGCTTTTTAAAAATGTGAGTGCCCCCACAGCAGCCAATTTACAAGGGAAGTTTAGTGTCTGTTAATACAGGAGTCATGTAATGCCACAGGAGTATCTGTACATGGAAATTGTTCATCTCAGAGCTGCCTCTGAGCAGAATAACAACAGCATCTGCCCCATGTGGGAGTTTGAGCCTGTCAGGAGAAGCACTGTCATGCACTGTTCAGTTTTCCCATTTTAAACAGCAGGTTTTTGCTGCAAAATTCCCCTTCTCTTTAAAAACATCTGAAGAGCAAGTTTACCTTCATGCCTGGTCTGTGGGATTAAGAGAACATACACTGCTTTTATTCTCCTGCCATACTGTAAAAATTTCTGTGAGAGCAAACAGAGTGGGCAAATCATCTGCCCCACTAACACAAAATCTCACCTATTTGCCTGTTTCCCATCTCCTTGATTTACCTGTGGCTATAAAACACAGGAACGAGCCTGTCAGGCATGAGGAGCACTCAACCCCAGCCCACAGGAAGAGTTTTTAGGAAAGGAGCCTCATGTAGGAGCATCCAGCTGCTGCTCTGACTCCCAGCTCAAAGAAATTACTGTCCAAGAGGTGGTTCTGGAGCCTCCTGAGCCACCCTTCTGTATGCACCACCCTCCTCCACACAGCACCCCTGTCAATAGGATTGTTTAGTACCAGAAAAACACAGCAAATACTTTCTGAAGTGCATTTAAAATCAAAGAGCTTGGATGCTCCTTTTCTAGGCAAGAAGGCAGAGCAGCAGGTGATCTCTCCTTTCTCTCAGCTCTCCAGGGCAGTGCCTAGGCAGAGATGTTGTTTGGGCTCTGAAAAAATGGGACACTGGAGGTCTGTGTGTGAATGCTGTGTTGGCACAAAAAAACCCAGTAAGTCATAATAATTAACTTAATAATCTGTCACTGGCTTCAAATCCCTTCTAGGGCGAGTCAGCAAGCCAGGGCTTCCATCTCCTTTCAAACAGGGAGACCCACATTTGTAAAGCACTTTGTGGTTTTTTGGATGCAAAAACCAACAGTTTCCATTATCAGAAATGGCCAAACCCACTTTTTGGATGTCCTCATAAAGGAAGGAGCTGTAACCAACAGGTCAGACGTGGTGGTGTAGCAAATCTGCCTCTTGGCTAGTGAGAAGTCAAACTCACACACACAAAAAAAGCTTTCTGGCTATTTTGGCAGGTAGTCAGGAATCACAGGTGTACTCAGGCACCAGCACACACATAAAGCAGCTATCTGCAGACATTTTTGTAACACCACTCTTGGCTCTGTTGCAAGACAAACTTAGAACCAGGAGGGTTTGGAAAGTGCAAACCGGTGGTGTCGCAGCCAACGTTTGCTATAAAGCCTCTGAGGAAAAATCTGTTTTCCAAACTGTATGGAAGCACAATTACAGCCTGGCTGGCAGACCCAGCAGATCCTTTGCCCTAAAGCTCCAAATGACAGGGACTTGGAGCAACTCTGTTATTTTATTTAAAAAAAGAAAAAAAAAAAAGCTTGTTCTCAGCCCACTGATGCTGTTCTGGGCTCAGGACAGCTGGGACACACTCCAGGCTGGAAAATGGCATAGGAAAATCAACACAAAAACATATCAATCCTCCTCAAATTTGTGTGCCCTTCTGGAATGCCCAGCTAGCAGCTGCCCTGGGTAAGCCCTGGAAGCCAATTTGTCTCTCAGCACTGCTGCTGCCACTTCAGAGCTGACCAAAATTACAGCTTGTTATTCAGGGCATTGACAAAACACACCTCAGGCACCAACAAGCCTGGGGAACTAACCACCTCACTAGGAAGGTGGAAAGATTTCCCTTTTGATGAGCAAATTCCCCACAAAAAAACACCAAAAGCCCAGAAACCAGTACAAACTTGAAAGCTCGAAATTTCATTTTCTTTACTGAGCAAGCCCCAGCTAAATGAAATGAGCATTCAGAGCAGTGCTTATGCGTTTGAGTTATTATTTCCCTTCCAAAATAACCAAATTCATTTCAGGCAGAGTTATATTAAAAAACAAACCCCTAACACGCTTGTTAGAAGTGCTTTCCACCACTTTTCCTTGCCAAGCTTTGAAACAGCCATGGAAACTCATGGTTGTGGCTGGGATCCCTGCTGCCCTTGGGTCCTGTGGAGGGTGGTGGGCAGCACAGACAGGGAAAAGGCACAGGGAGCTGGCAAAGCACCCACCAAACCCTGCTGGCAGTGGGAATTTGGTGCTTCCCCAGTGGCAGCTGCTCTCCCACCACTCCCCAGTGCTGCCTGGGGCAGCTGGAATCACTGGTGCCTCCAGGACTGGCTGCAGGGAGGTGATTTCTTATCCTGGGGAAGAGCTGAATATGTTCCTATAGGTTATGGGGTCACAAGTTTAAAAAAATATGTTCCTAAATGTTCTGGGGTCACAGGTCTAAAACACCATGTTCTCCTGACAGTTCACCGGGGCGGTGTGTGTGTCATAAAGGATGATTTCATTTCTTCATTTCTTTTCTTCTTCATTTTTCTCCCCCTCACCCAAGACTTGGATCCTCCTCCTCTTGCCTGCCGTGTGCCAAGGGCAGATCTCCAGGGGCAGTGACTCTTCCCAGCTCCTTTGCCTGCAGAAGACACATCACCCATTTTAGGGCTCTGGAGCCAAGGCTGCGTCATCCAGAGCCAGGGAGATCCTGGCTTGTAATGGACAAAAATTACAGGAATCTGCCCTTTATTTACAGTCTTTCATTTTATCCTCCCAGCTGTGTCATTTCCCCACCCTGCATGGTGATTTACTCCTTCACCTGTGCTTCAGGCTGCTTTTTCCACCCCTGCAGGAAGCATCAGGTGCTGCCTGCTGGCCCTCCATAAAACAGGACAGGTCATCCAGCTTCATCCACTGGCAACTGCATGCAAAAGGAAGGAAAAAAAAAAAAAAAAAAAAGGCATTTCTAACCCTACATTTTTATTTATGTATTTCTCTAACCGTTCCTACTGAGGAGAAAATTGTGAGCACTCAGCAGCTCCCACAGCCTTGAACTGCACTGAATTACAGACATTCACATGGCTTCATGTAGGTGTTCTACAGATCCAGGCATCCTTTGCATGAAAATACCTAAAATTAAATTGAAAAGGTTACAGGCTGATTAGTATTAAAAGCTTGTACCAATTAGTTTGGTACAGTTTCTTCTTTCAAACATGAACTGCACAGGCTAACTCTGAGTGTTTACTACTTTCAATGCTGAGATTAAGTCCATTATTTCCAGTGCGACAACCTTGTAACACCTCTGAATTTATCTCCAGGACAAAGGTCTTTTCTCATCCCAGTCGTTAACATTTAACTGGGGAGACAATAATCACTCTGAAAGACACATTGTACATGGAGAGGGGCTCCTTGCAGGAGGAACTCAGAGTTTGCAGAGTGAGAATGGTGTTTGCAGACTGTAAAAGTGAATGACAACCCCTGGGACATTCTCTCAAAAAAGAACTGAGTCCTGTGCTTTGCTTCATGGATGGATTTATTACCCCATACTGTGAGGTCAAAATCAAAGCCCGTTTGCCAGATCAGGTTTTTAAATTTTATTTTTGAGCCCTGTCTTTTTCAGAGCTCAGCAAAAAAGTTCATTTCACCACCCTAAGTCATATCAGAATGTGCGTTTACCCAGGGCAGTCTTCCTGAAGCTGCAGGCTGGTGCCTCCAAGGAACTGCCTGGAAAATGAGCTTCTGTGTAAACACAGCAGGGCAGATGGAAGTGCCTGGATGAGCTCTGGGTATGTGGCACATGCTGCTCTTGCTGCCCTGGCACAGCTGCTGCTATTCCTCTACTGCCTGGGACACAGCCATGGATGCTCTGTGCTGTGGGGCCTTCCCTTCCCTTCCCTTCCCTTCCCTTCCCTTCCCTTCCCTTCCCTTCCCTTCCCTTCCCTTCCCTTCCCTTCCCTTCCCTTCCCTTCCCTTCCCTTCCCTTCCCTTCCCTTCCCTTCCCTTCCCTTCCCTTCCCTTCCCTTCCCTTCCCTTCCCTTCCCTTCCCTTCAAAATCACTGCAGGCATTAAGGAGCATCAGCAGCCAAATCCTTTTACCATTTTTCTCGGTGCACAGCAGGAGAATTTTGATCTGCAGGACAGGGAGTCCATGCTCCAATCTGCTCTCCCAGCAAGGCCAGTCCCTTTAGAGTGTGACTGGACAAGGGGAAGTGGCTTACAACCAGAAAAGAGAAAATAGTAGGGTTAGATTAGATATTAGGGAGAAATTCTTTACTATGAGGGTGGACAGGCTCTGGCACAGAGTGCCCAGAGCAGCTGTGGCTGCCCCTGGATCCCTGGCAGTGCCCAAGGCCAGGTTGGACATTGGAGCTGGAGCAACCTGGGGTAGTAGAAGGTGTCCTGTCATGGCAGGGGAGTGGAACAAGATGATTTTGAAGGTTCTCTCCAAGCCAAACCATTCTGGGACTCTGTTTCAGGCTCAGGAAGGGCACTGGGGTCCCTCCTGCTGCAGGGGATCCGTGCAAGGTGCAGCCCCCAGGGCAGCAGAGGCAGGAGCTGACCCAGGGGGACACAGGACACTGACACCTCTCACCTGGACCTGTGTGCAAAGAATAAAACTGAGGGCTGGGCTGGCTGGTGTCTCTCTCAAATTGCAATACCACCTTTAGCAAAGTTGGTTTGGCAGCTCCATTTGCACACAAATTTGCAAAGCAGGCTCATCAGATGAAATTCCAGTTAGAGATTCATGGATGCAAGAGGCCTAACAGGTGGATTCCTGCCATGTGATGGCTGCAGTGTTTGCATCAGGCATGATTTTACCTCCTTCTGCCCAAATACAGGTTGTCAGCTGCCATCAGCTCCAGCCATGTCCCACACTGCCCAAAGCTGAAATCTCTTATCTTCTCCACTAATTTTTTCAGCATTATAATATTAGCTACTCCAGTCCATTAAGAGCCTCTTTTTAGCCCATCTAAATGTATTCTCATGTAAGGAAAAGCAGCACAATAACAAGGACATGTATAAGATCCTGGCATTTCTTTTAATGCTGGTACATACTGTTCACAAAGTCCCAGAAGAATATTAATGTCTGTCTTTATACAGGTGAAGGGGACTAATCATTTGAAAGGACTCCCAATCTTTGAGGGCTGTTTCATTATCCCTTCACAAAACACATTGAAATCCTTCACATGACACCCACATCAGTCTCCCCACTCCCAGCTGCACAACCATTGTTCTAAAGCATTGCCAAGGGAGGATCAAAGGAGAAAATTACACAAAATTTTTAGATTATTTTTTTATCCTCAAGGAGTTAGCGGGGTGGAGGGGATAATAGCCACTTTTCTCAGTGATTACATGGTGCTGGCAGTAAATTTTGCAGCTATCAAAAGCTACTGATCGCTTCCAACACCTCTGCCAGGAATATGAATCCATAAGAAATGTACATCAGCCACCCAGCCCTGAGTGGTCCCACAGGCAGAGCCACCAGAAAGACAAACAAGCCCCTAAAACCACAACAGCTGAAATGGAGCCACAGTTTACCCTCTCAACACTGAGTTTACCATGAAGTTTTCCAGTATTTCCTTCCTCCATATCAAGCTGAGATTTACCAGCTGGCAATTTTACAATGATCACAGGGTCTCTGATGTGAATCATCCCAAGTGGGTTTGGCTCAAGCTGCAACTTTGACCTCAAATCTGAGACTTAATCCCTCAAATCTAAATTCAGCCTAGCTCTAACAACATTTCCACAATGCTTATCCACATGAGTCCATAAAACTGTCACATTGCACTGGGAGCTTCTCAGTTTAAAATTCATCCATCTTTCTCCAGGAGTCCCAGCAGGAGACACATACCTGCCAGGATAAGATGGGAATGGGTGCCTCCTTTTCCTAGGAGAAGTTAGAGCAGATGCCATTCATTTCTTTCCACTTCTAATCCTGCATGTTACTCTAGTAGAAGGCCTCCTTACCATGGTAGCCCCAAACTGCTGGGCAGCCTGCAGGAGTGAAGTGAAGCACAGTTTCTGCCTCAAGGAGCTGACCTTATCACCCAAAATAGGACATTTAATGAATTCCAGGGATGCAGTGCATGCCCTAGGGTAGGTCAGCAGAAGATGGTAGTGCTGGTGCTGAACGTTCTGCAGGGACAGCAAACTCCTCCTCTCACCTCAATCCTTATGCAGGCCCTGCTCTGAACCTCTGTGTGAACACAGTGCTGAGAGAGAAGTCAGGAAAGTCACCAGCATGCAGAACCCAATCAGTAAAACACTGTGGCAGGTACATTCTTCTCTCTCTGAAGACTTTTTTTATAGAAGAGCATAGAGAGAAGAAAGAAAAATCTTTTTTTTTGGTTTTTCTTATGCAAAATGTGTCTAGGGAATTGTTTACCTAAGGTAATTTCTTGATTAGATTCTCATGAAAATTGTTTGAGCCTGATGGCAAATCAAATCCACCCGTGGCTGGACTTGCAAGAGAGTCATGAGTTGTTAATTAGTTAAATATAGTAATTAGAAAAAAATAAGTATATAGTTTTAATATCTCCTTTAAATAGTATATTAATGTATTATAATATAGTTATAAAAATAATAAATAATAATAGTTATTAAAAATAATTTTAAAAATCATTCAACCTTCTAAACCAAAGTCAAACATCATCATTTCTTCCCACCAGGTTCACTTACATTTACAATAGAACACTAATTACATTCCTCCAGAAGGAAGTTGCCAGTGCAAAGCCCTTTGCACATTTTTGGGGTTTTTTTGGCTGAAGTTTCTTGCTTAGTTTGTGGCAGGGGCAGTGATGGCCACAGCTTGTTTCTCTTGTTGTAGCTGAGGAATGATTTGCTGATTGCACAACTCCTGCCCATGGCAGAGTGTGCAGGGACTGATGCTGCTCCTCCACAGACAGACAGAATCCTGCCTGGAAACTACAGAGGGGATCTGCTCACTTCCTAGAGGAACTTGGCTGAAACTTTGGCTCCAGGAAGACTTTCCCTTCCTGCCCTAGATCCTTGTGTTCCCCTGAGCGTTCAGCTCCTCTGATGAATTTAAACCAGTATAATTTAGATATGATTTCCTCATTGATTAGTCATTTTATTGTAAGTGGATGAGCTGAGTTGGGAACACCGTGCTCAGCCCAGCTGAGTGCCAGGAGCCCATTGAACTCACGGGCACAAAGCGAGGAACGCTGGGGCCAGACCAGGCAGCCTCTGCCACCCCAGGAAGGGCTTTTCCTTTACATGGGGTGTGCTTTACTCACCACACAGTGATTTCTCTGCAAATAGTGCCCAGTGCTGCCTGGGGAGCAGGGCAGAATGTCACCACAGGTCATTCTCACTTTACCCCCTCCAGGGTGGGTAAGGGCTGCGTAAAGCAGTGCCCACCACAGGGATGCTGCAGCCCTGTCTGCTTCAAGAGGAGCTGGCTTTCCTCTGCCAAGGCTAAACACCAGCAGCTGGTGCTCACTGGAGTAAATTCCCTTTGTCTGGAGGCTGAGAAGGACAGGCTCAGGCAGAGCAGATGGGGCTGGGTGTGTGTGATGTGCTGCAGGTGGACAGGAGCCCACCAGAGTGAGGAGGGTGTGGGCAGTGGCTGGGCAGGTTCTGGCAGCTGAGTGCTGCAAACCAGGAGTTCCCCCAGCTCTGGAGCAAAGCCTGAGGGCAGCTTGGCTTCTCTGGCTTCTGCAAATGTCCTCCATGGCCTAGAGCTGGCCAGGGTGGGATCAGCTCCCAGCCTCAGTGACACCACCAGTCCCCCTGCCTCCTGCCCAGGGGCAGGAAAACATCACAGAGTCACAGAATGGTTTGAGTTGGAAAGGATCTTAAAACTTGTTTTAAAAATCCCTGCCATGGACAGGGACAGTTTCCACTACCCCATGTTGCTCAGAGCCCCATCCAACCTGGATTTGAACACTTCCAGGGATGGGGCAACCACAGCTTCTCAGGGCAACCAGTGCCAGGGCCTCACCACCTCACAGTGCCTCATAGGAAAGAATTTCTCCCTCAAACCTAATCTAACCCCTCCCTCTTTCACTTTAAACACATTATCCATTGCCCAATCACTATATTCCTTTTAAAAAGTCCTGTAAAAATATGGCTACAGTGAGCTAGGGACATAGCCACACTTCCTCCAGCCTGTGTGCTCAGGCACAGCCTGCCAGCTCTCCTGTCTCCCTGTCTCTGTCCTTGCCAGGCTCCCTCCCACAGACCTGCTGTTCCCAAGGGCAGTGGGGAGGGAGCTCTCTCCCTGCCAGCCTGCCCCCGGGGCAGCAGGAAGGACTGAATGTCCCAGGGGTGAAAGACCTTCCCATCCCTGGTATCTCCCAGTCAGGAATAAAGGCAGGCACTCTTGCAGAGCTCTTTGCTTTACCAGGTAGTGCCATTTCCTGACCCTTTCTTCATCTCTTGCCACTTTGATGTGATCTGTATTTAAAAAAGAATCCCAGTCGGTTTGGGTTGGAAGGGACATTAAAGATTGTGGGAATCCAGGGCTTCCCTCTGGCTGCCCTGGCAGGTCTGGGACCCTGGCAGGGGTCAGGAACCCCCCTGGACAGAGCCCCCAGAGACACTGTCTGTGATCTCTGTCCATGGAAAAGAGTTTTCAATCTTACAGGATGAATTACAAGCTTTGAGTGTTTGATATAAGTAATAATTAAGTGTGGCACGGGTGCAAAAGTAAAATTTTAGGAGTCTAGATTAGGGGTCCAAAGGGGACAAGATGGAGGAAATTGGGTGTGTCTTGTCCTTTTTCTCCTTCTTCATGCCCTCCATGTTTCACTGTGGTGTTGGCATTTTTCTGTTGGTTTAGGCTGGGGACACACTGTCCAACGTAGGTGACAGATATTGGCACGTTATTGTAAATCCAGCACAGGTAGTTTCTGGTATTTAATGTTTGTACCATCCCACTGAGGGCAGAGCCCCACACGCTGCCCTGCAGGACAGAGCTGCGGCAGGGCAGCAGAACATGTTAGAGATAAACAGAATAAACAACCTTGAAACCAGCACAGACGAATTATGGCTTCTTCTTTGGCAGCAGGGCTGAAAGACAGAGACTTTCTACAATCTCAGAATGACCAATACCTCAGATTCCGACAAAAGATCATCTCTTCCCAACCCCCTGCCACAAGCAGGGACACCTTCCATTACCCCAGGTAGCTCCAAGCCCTATCCAGACTGGTTTTGAACACTCCAGAGTTGAGGCATCCATAACTTGTCTGGGCAACCTGTTCCAGTGGCTCAGCACCTCACAGGGAGGAATTTCCTT